ATATATATATATATATATATATTTATAATATAATTATAAAATATAATTATATTATATATATAATCAATATATTATAAATATATATAATATTATTAATATATTAATTTAAAAAAATTATAATTATATAAATTGTATTTTATATAATTTATATTAATTATATATTATATATTTAATATAATAAATTTATTTATATTGTTTATAAAAATACTATTTTTTAAAAACTTATTCTCAACAGATTATAATATAAATATATTAATTATCTATATTTAATAGTTAAACGTATATATATATATATATATAAATAATATAATATAAGTGTAACTATTAAATACAATTGTAGAAGCATGTAAATGAATAAGAATGTGATAAGTGAAATATGTTTCAAAATGGTTATATGTTAAACACCTTCAGTATGACCAGGTGTGGGTATCACCACCAGATAATGTCTGCCAAATTTGATGTGGTCTCGTGGCTCCAAGAGAATGTCGGCCTCTGCACCACTATTGCGGGAGATCATCGATCGACAACCTGGTAATAATGATTTCAATCGGCCCGTTCCTGTAATGTGGTCTGCGTGCATGTGTGTGTTCACTGTAAAAAAGAAATAATCGTTAATTAAAAAAGGGAACAATTTATTGATTTCATTTTTATACATTTTTATTCAATATGAAATTTTTCTTTTTTTTTATTTAATTTAAAGTAGAAAAAATGCATTTTGTTTTCTTTTTCTTTCTTTTTTTCTTTTTTGTTTCATTTTTGAAAAAATAAAATAAAAAATAAAAAAGAGATAACAACTTACAAACATATTTTAAATTTAAACCAAGTTCCTCGACGATTTTTTTATCTCGTTCAGCCCATTCGATGACTGGATCAATTAAAACAGCTTCTTTATTGTTAATATCAGCAAGTAAATATGTGTATGTACTGGACACTGGATCGAATAACTAAAATGTTTTTTAATATTTAATAAAAATTAGAAGAGTGTATAGACTTACATATAAATTGTAAATTATATAAAGTAATTTATTGTTATTGTGAAATAAATAAAATGAAATGTATTATATATATATATGAAAAAAAATGTATAACTAAAATTAATTAGATTTTACCTACCCAAAGATAAGCTTTTGATCATCCATCTAACATAAAAACTTAACATGAAGATTATCTTTTTAAGCCAGATGATTTAATATTATATAATTTGAATAAAGAGAGCAAGATCTTAATTTTTAGATAATAAAATGTGTTCGCTTTTATTTTTATGTTAATATAAATATATTATATTTATAACATACGTATTGCAGTTATATGTTTTCAATATGTTTATTTGGTAATAACTTTATTCAGTTATTTAATATAATTTATTTAATTTATTTGTAAATATACAAATATACTGAAAGTTTTATTAAAATATTATATATAGTATTATTAAATTAACCACACAACTAAAATAATGTTATCTAAAATTAGATTGTATACAGTCAGCTATATTTAAAAATGAAAATTGTTAGTAAAGTATATATTCATTAATAATATTCTAATAACTATAACAAAAATGAAGTATAAGTCAGATTAGATACTGTTTAAAATATACATAAAAATATTGTTAAATATTTTTAATACAATTATGTTATTTACAATAATAAACAATGTACATAACATTATGCAATATAATGAACTACGTTGATAAAATGAGTGACAGAGAGAGTATTACTTTTTATATATGACAGGTAATATAAAAGAAATGTTAAATGACTACAAAGATATGCAATATTTACATACCTGTTGAAATAAGAAATCCTTAGAGAAAGAAATATGTTCAGTCAAAGTTCCATGTTGATGATAATTTTCTACAGACATAATTCCTGCTCTAAAATATTTTCCTGCCAATCTTAATATTTGCTGACTCAATTTATTTAATACGCTCATCTTTGTAACAAGTTATATCACTACCAGTTTTTATTAGAAGATAAATGGTATTAAATACCTCAATACAAATTTGATTATGTATGTATGTATGTGTATATATATATGTACATATATAAACGTTTATAAGATAATGACGATAAATATATTTTTACACAATATAACACTTGAAAGGTAACGATATGAGATCATCTTATTAGTTATATCGTTGATAACTTTGATAACATAACCTTTAAAATAATCTTACATTAAAGATATCATTATCTTTATATGAAAAGTAAAGAAACATTTATAAATAATATATTTACATATTATTTTTAATATAATGATTAAAATAAACAACTAACTTATCTGCTAGATCACAATATTAAGTGTAATAAACTTTAAAATCACTTCACCATGTTTAAACTGTGTCACAAGTCTTCACTTACTAAATGTCTTCGCTTACTAACGCACGTTAACCAATCACAAAGCAGAATGGCTAGTGAATGTGCTAGTGCTATTGAAATGATTTTGAATTAACAAAAAATAAGTAAAATATATAATTTACTTATTTTTTATTTATAAAATAATATATCTATTATAAAAAAAAGCTGTAATTAATTTTTTTTTTTTTATATTAATATATCGAAAAACATAATCCAAAAAAAAATAACTATGTAGTCCATCTATAGAGAATAGTTCTATGGTCATTTCCTCTTAGTAGATTTCCCGGTATTCCATCTTGGATTTCTTCTTTCCACTTTATTACTTGCGAAGGTAAAGGACTTATACAATTTGCAGTTATTGTTAAATATTAAAAGGTTTGAGTGATTATTATTAAATATATTTTCTTCAAAATTAATTAAAAGTTAATTAATAATTACTAGATTATATTAGTGTTACACGTATTGCTGAATTTATATCATGAAAAATAATATATGATCATATAGTATTCATCCATGTGGTTGAGATTGATGTCCAATACGTTGTATATTGATTTCAGCTTTTTAATTTATTTATTTATTTATTTTAGATGCCTTCGGTAACATTAAAGGACGTTGACCAACACAAATTTGTGAAAGCTTTTGCAGCTTTCCTTAAAAAGTAAGTTTTATTATTTACATTTTAATAGGTTAAGTTATAATCTATTCTATAGTATTTTACTACTGTTATATTGTTGTTTTTGAAATGTTTAATTTATACTAATGCAATTTTGTATTATTTTTTAGGACAGGCAAAATGCGTGTCCCAGAATGGGTTGATATTGTAAAATCAGCTCGTTTCAAGGAACTTGCTCCTTATGACCCAGATTGGTATTACATCCGTTGTGCAGCATTAGTTCGTCATATTTACATTCGCAGTCCAATTGGTGTTGGAGCAGTAACGAAGATCTTTGGTGGTCGTAAACGTAATGGAACACATCCCAGTCATTTCTGTCGGTCAGCTGGTGGTGTTGCTCGTAAAGCTCTCCAAAGTTTAGAACAATTAAAACTTATAGAGAAAGCTCCTCTTGGTGGACGCAGGCTTACAAGTCAAGGACGCAGAGATTTAGATCGTATTGCTGCTCAGATTAAAGCCAAGAGCAAAAATCAATTAAAACTTCAAGAAACTCTTGTTCTTTAAGCTTTTTCAATAAAATTTAAAATACTTTATCTATTATAGTCATTATTTCTCACCCTACATTTGTAGAATAATTTTAACTTACTTGTACTGCATTTTATATATATATATATATATATATATATATATATGTATWTAAAATACTATTTTAAAGAAAAAAGTAAATGTATTTATAATTATATTGCATCAATACATGTATCAGATCTAGTAATAATTGTATAATTTTTATTTATATTATGTTAATTAGATTATTATTGTATAATTTCATAAATGCATGATATGAATATGACAATAATTATTACTAGATCAACATTAATTACTACTTTAATCATATGAGTAAAATAATATAAATTAATAGTAAATACAAAATTCAAATACTATAATATAATCTTTTTCCAAGATATATTTATATTATTTAATATTATTAATAATAATCGAAATTTCTCGTAAATTCATTTGTATTTCGAGAATTATTACGAAAAAGAAAATAAAATAGATGGCGCCAAAATATAAATCTTAAAAGCTATCCTATTGGCTATGCTAGTTTTATTTATTTTTCTTTTTATTTTTTTTTTTATTCAAATTATCTCAGCTGTAAGAATAATGCTGAATTGTCGAATAACATATTGACTATGTTAAATGAAATTGTCATATGGCATCGTTACAAGTTATTCTATGTGGATAGATTATTATATACAAGGAATATGACGTAATCTTATTTGTTTTGAAGAGATCTAACATAAGTGCATCATTATAAGTAATTGACTGCGTAGAAAAATAATATTAATAAAAATGCCATTTTTTAATTTCTTTCGAAATTTTTTCACTGGAGGAGAAAGAGGAGATTTTGGCAATGAATGGTAATAAATTATTTATATTTATATATATATATATATATATCTGTGTGTTAACAAACAAATAAATAATAACGATAATAATTTATATCAAACACACTTTATGTCTGTAAATTTAGAAAGAACCTTCTAGGTTTATATTAATTTTGTAACATATCAAAGATGTGTTTTTTATTTCTACATATTAATATTAAAAGCTTTTAATTTCTTGAATAAACTATTATCACTTTGTAGAATAGTTTACATGTAACCATATAGCTTTATTAAAAATTTCAAGTATCTATCTTTTCATTCTAACCTCAATTTCTTATTAGTATAATTTTATTTATTTATATTTACTAATAAATTATTTTTTGTTTAATGATCACAACCATAAGGAAGAACAGTTTTCGTAATCCTATTTGGCAAAATGATGAAGATGACAATGATGACGATGACTTCAGGTATGTCTATAAAGAAATTCATTTTGTACAATGTTAATGTGTATATAATTATATTAGATAATTTAATGGATTATTTTAGGCATGTTGAAGATAATATCATCGGTGATGCAATGCAAATGGCACATTTGTTTGAATCTCAATTGGATAACATGATTAAAGCTATTTTTTCTAATTTTGGTGATAGATTAATGATTACACCAGGTACATATGGAATTATATTCAATATATAATCTTATCATTATTATATAATTATTATTTTATTGATTTAATAAGAAATTGTATATATATATTTCAAGGTATCATAGAAGAATTACCACAAGAAGGACAAAGTACTAATAGTTTACGTGATCAAGTTTTAAAACCTGGATTTGATCTTCCCAGTGAAAAAGAACAAGAAAAATCTAGAGTGGATATCGATTTAGATGGAAAGTATGAAATTTCTAAAATATCATTCACTTCTTTTTTTTTCTCCTCGTTGTTTGATAATTTCCTTGATTTATTTCATTCGTTTTATTCATAGAATCTCAGCTGATAATTTATTCAAAACTTGGGACAACAAGCCTGATAATAGAGAAATTGTACCTTCTATCCAACAATTTCCTCAAAGTTCCAAGTTTATTACTAAAAGATCTATACGTATAATGGGTGATGTTATTGAAGAACATCAGGTAATAAAAGATGGTGAAGGTAATCAAAAGGAGATACTTTCTAAACAGATTGGTAATAAGAAATATGTTATTGAAACTGAGAAAGATAAAAATGGTGTAGAAACTGCAAAGGAAAATATAATTAATATAGATGAAAGTAAGTTGTAATATGTATTTTTTCTTCTTCTTTTTTTCTCGATAACATTAGTAAACCATTAATGTGTGTTCATATATATTTACAATGTTTTTTTTTTTAGCAATATTATGTGATATATATATAATAATAATAATAATAATATGATTTTTCTTTAAATTGTTTTTAAGGTGAGTTGCAAAATTTTAAACCAAAACTATCACATCAAGATGATAATCATTTGAATAATCCTAGTAAACTTTTAAATTATTTCCCATGGGATAAATTTTTTGGTCCAAATCCAAAATTATAATAATAGTATTTCTTTAGTAGCACGTAGGGATGATGAATGGCTACTCTAAAAAAAAAAAAAAAAAAAAGGGATGCCCTTTTTTATATATATATATATTATATTATTATTATTTATAACATGTGCTACTACATCTATTAAAAACTTATAATGTGATTGTAGTTGATAATACGTTATTATTAAAATAAATTATAAAATAAAACGATTTAAAATATTCATTTTAAGTGTTGTTTCTTCTTTTTACCACGATTATCCAATTTTTACATTATAAATGAACATTATTGTACAAATTTAAAGTTTCTTACATTTAGTATAATAATAATAATAAGAATTGTAATAATTATTGGTTACATAATGGTTGAACGTAAGTAAATGATCTAATGAAAGAATTTTATTTCATTAATTCATTCTAAATGTGTTGATATTGGTGTTATGATTTTTGAACAAGCATCAATTTTGGATATAACATTATATATGATAGGTATCGCAACATCAAATGATATTCTTTACATAATGTTCATATATAAGTGTATATATATATATACGTGTTTTAAAGCAAATATATATACAGTCTATTTATATATGTTATGTGTATCCCAAGATAATAATTAATATCTACAATTCTGTCATATGTTCTTCTTATTTTTCTTTCTTTTTCCTTTTTTCTTTTTTTTTTTTTATATAAAATGTTAATGGTAACATGTGTGTATATATAGGAGCATTTATATGTGTGTTTGTATAGTTTACACAATATATATTATTATTATTACAGCGAGCAATGTTTGTATTTGCATATAAACATGGCAGCATCTCTATGATTAAACTCCTTACCTTATAATAACATGTGAGACATGTAAAAATAATTTACAACTCAAATACGAGAAACACGTGTTCAACTCGATCAAATAATTTACATCAATCAGATAAAACTCTTTTCTCTATTTAATTGTTTTGAAAATTAACGACACGATACATATAAAGATATTTATTATTTTATAATTAATAATAATAATAATAATATAACTGATTATATTTTATAAATATATATATATATATATATATTTTTTTACACAATAAATTTTATAATACATAATAAAACAAATAAAAAAAAAAATAAGTTTTTTTTTAGGAGAAGCTTATTTTATCAATGAATTATATTTCAATAAATTTTGTCTAAACATAAATTAAAATATTAAGAAAAATTGTACTGTATATTTGTAGATAAGAATCCTTGTCAATTAAAATGATTATCTCTTTGACAAGACAATTAATGTAATTGAATAGTCCTACATTGTAGAATATTTTTCAAAATATTTTTCAAAATATTTTTCATCTCCAAAAAATTGTTTAAAATACATTTCATGATTTTTCATTTTATTTAGTTCAATTTATATATATTTAAAAGTATGGGGATAGAATATTATACTTGTAATTAAGGTGGTATGTATAACTGACTCGTGTTATTTATATTTGGCTTTTGTTAACATTATTTAAAATCTCACACAATACCATAAGGCAAGGGATTAAGTAATCTATACAAACTAAACATCATAGGGATAATTACTTTCGTTATAATATATTGCATGATTACATATAGCCTCCAATATGTACAATTAATTCATGTATTATAATCCTATCATATTTTTTTTTACGTAATCATAATGATCGATAGAGAAAATGTCAATGAAATAAGACAATATTTTAAACAAATGATTAATATATTAGTTACTTAATACTATTTTATAAATTATGATAAAAGCCATCGAATAGAAAGGATTTGTCAGATTGCTTAAAAACTAGGATTGCGAATACTTAAAGAAAGATTAACACACTAACGATTAAAATATAATTCAAGAATATTTATACACAATTTGTTTGTTTGTTTTCTTTTTTCATTTTGTTTTTTTTTTTTCATGATTTCTTTTCATTGACATTTTCTTTTTAACTTGAATTTTCCTTTTTAAAACTTCACGAAATTAAAAAAGGAAAATAAAATCGTACACTTTTTTGGAAAAAACTACACATTTCCAATTTGAATAATAATAATAATAATAATAAAAAAGAAAATAATAATAATAATAATAATATAATAACATTTGGAATCTATGATTTTCAATGTCGATTAAAAACAATAATCATTATTTTTGGAATAATCTACAATATTGTGCATACGCCTGAATCAATATAAATATATATTAACAGAAATAGTTAATAATTATCTAATTTTTACAATATTATTTAGTTATACTTCCCCACATAAACCTGTATATAATATACATCGATATATAATATTAATTAATCAGATTTTACACATCCCAGGTTGATTTTATAGTAAGTGTTGGATTAATTCTGAATTTATTTTATATATATATATATATATCATTAAAGGCAGCAAACTCTCTCAGTATTTATTGTTGAAACATAAATTGTAGTGCCAAGGACTATTGCCATCCATTCATTGCCTATATATTTACGAATGAAATTATTATACAGAATTTTTATTTCGATATAATTATTAATTATTATAAAACGAGATTAACCTTTGCTTACCACCCTTCCTGAAGTAACACGCTTACCACACCCGGGCGAGAAAAATTGTTATAAAAAAGAAACTATTGCATAGATTTACTTCAACATTTTTTTTTTTTTAGACTTCTTTAATACTTACTTAAAAAGACTATATAGGTTTTATAGCTTTAAATTAAATTCAAATATGTTGAAAACATTTTACAAAAGTTAAACAATTGAGAAAAATGACTCAAGTTGCAAAAAAAGGTCGTCTGGGTCCTTTCGGACCAAGTGTGGTAAGCAAAGGTTAATAATAATAATATGTGTTGTATTTACCTATCAAAAGATTTGTCATATATATATATTTGTTTAATAATTATTCTTGACCAAAACCTTCTGTTTCCTCAATTGCATAATTTAATTTTTCAACCAATTGATCATAACTTTTATACGGTGGTAAGTCAAGTCTGTTAAAACATGTGTGGGATCTTGGTAACCATGTATCTTTTCCAACTTTTTCAATACAAAATCGTTGAGGCCCGTTACTTCCTACAAATATATAATAAAATATATTGTGTGTGATATACATAAATTTATAGAAATATTTAAACATATAAAATTATTGTACCCATTAATTCAGCAAATCCTCCAACAGGAACTCTGCAAGTACCAGTTACAAATTGTAAAAGACGAGCCCTTTTCTCGTTGTCTGTTCTTGTTACGAACTACAAATAATTGATAAACGTTATAAACATTTGATTATAAATATTCTCTGGTAGCACAAAATATTGAATACATGTGTATTTAATATTAAAAAGACATAGAATATTTTTTTAATATTAAATTAAATTAAAAGATTATATTTATATATATATTTAAAATTAATTTAAAAATATATATATAATATTAAATTATATTTAATATTTAATATTAAATTAAATTAATATTTTATTTATTAAAATAATACATAAATACTATTAAATTATAATTAATTAATTATATATATATATAAAATATATNTTAATTAATTATAATTATAAATATTAATTAATTATTATATAAATTAAATTTATTATATATAAATATTGAATACATGTGTATTTAATATTAATATTTAATATCATAGAATAAAACAAATAGAATATTTATTTACCTGCCAAAACCATAAAACTTGTTTACTATTACGAGTATAATGTCTATAAATGGTATTACGTTGCCAATCTTCAACATCGATTTCTTGCATACCACACAACATTAACTCCAATTCACGTTCGTCAAAATACTTCAACCATTCTAATGGTACAACTGAATTAAATCCATCTAAAAAGGCTTTCGTTTGTTCTTCTATACCTCTGGTCATTCTCCATTCAGTCATTAATCTATAATAACAATAAGAATAATAATAAATAAATAAATAAATAAATAATAAATTATCTACTTTTGAAATATTTCCAAATTGAAAATTTTGATATTTCAATACCTAATATATTCTTCTTTATTGTCTTCAACAACTCTAATTTTATCACCATTTTCTTTTAATTCATGATGAATGACCTGTCCAAGAATTTCAAAGTCTACACTATAATACAATTCTAAGGCGCATTCATCGATATTATTTTCTTTTATCCAAATAAGAGATTTGTAGAATTCTGGATCGATAGATTCAATATCTTTCATAACTAATTTTTTATTTAACATTCTTTTAAAAAATGGCATAGTAAAACCACTATAAATAAATCGTCCATGGTAAAGAGCCTAAACATCAAAAATATATTTTTCATTAATTTATAATATAATAATATTAATGTGCATCAAGAAATATACAAACCATTGCGATAAATCTGCCAATAAATTTAAAATATTGCAAATGATCAGGATTGACATAAGATGCAGGATTTATTTGTAAGCTGTAATTGCTTTTATTAGCATATTCGAATAAACAATACATAGGATTTAAAACTTCGTGACTCAATAAAAAGAACCATTCTCTAAAAAGATCAACAACAACAAAGTAATTAGAAATATTATAAAAATCTGAAATATTAAATATATTTATTCAAATTTACCTGGATACACCACCATAATCTAAGCCCTCTTCTCCTTTAAAAATGATATATAATCTTCGCCTAAGTGCAAATGCTTCTGCGTTCATTATTTGATGATAAGAATCTTCAAATAATGTTTGTCGACTAACACTGATTTTAATATGATTGGGTAATGCATTGGTTTGACACAAGAAACGAAATTGTGATAATTTCCAACGGAATGATCTCTCGTATGCCCTTGGTACTCGATAAACTCCTTTTGGTCTTGATTATTCAATTAATTATTCAATGTTATATTATAATTCTATATATAGATATATATAAAATAGTATTTTTAAAAATGAATAATAATTACCCTTTCGGTGCACCTGGCCTTGGGTCTTGGAATGTTGTAGTTCTCGTATTATGATCTACGAAATATCTAACACCATCTTCTGTTAATCGAATTTCCCAACCATCCGGCAATGGTGGTTCATCTATTCCTGTTTCTTGTCCTTGCGTACGAGGATCTTCCCATTGAGTTGTTCGATTTTTATGATTTACATAGTATACTCGACCTTCTGGTTGTTTACGTCTTTCCCAACCAGCTGGTAATGGTCCAAGGATATCATCGTCGTCAGGCATAGAAGATGCTAGCTGTCCTGCCACAACGGCTGCTGCCCCAAGAGGCTGGAATATATGTTATATATTAAACAATCAGTTTCAAAATAAAATAATATTGCTTTTATCGAATATTATTTCAAATATAATAACTTACTTGAGGATAAAGAAATCGTTGATTGCCTTGTTGAACGACATATTGTCTTTCACCTTGCCATTGTTGGAAATGCTGCAATCGTTCCGTGTTTGGTCTCTGCCATGTTGTACTTCTTGTATTATGATCCACATAATAAATTCTACCTCTTGGATCTCTGCGTACTTCCCATCCTGGTGGTAATGGTTGTGGTCTTTCCCATGATGTACTTCTTGTGTTATGATCAACATAATACCTATAATAAATATAACGAAAGAGTTAGAAAGATAGATTTAAATAATGAAATATTTAATAATTATATTTATTAAGAAGAACTTAAATACCTTCGATTATAACCGTCACATCTCATTTCCCAACCAGGTGGAAGAGGTTCTTCCGAATGGCATGCATTATCAACTTCTGAAAGCATTGCTGATGGTCCAGGTTGTACAATAGATTGTCCAGCCACAGGCATAGTAGGTTGTCCTGCCAATGATACTGCTGGTTGAACCATTCTAGTAAGTGAACGAGACTCCGGCAAATTATTAGTTGTAAATTCTTCTGAATGTGGAATAACAGTGCGACCATCTGTTACTGCATTTAACATAGATTGTTCTGATCGAGGAATACAATGCGGAAGAAGAATACTGTTATTTTGTTCAGTACGAGTAATTCCACGAGCTTCAGATAAATGATCCGATCGTGTTTCTGTATTGGGTAATGATGTTGATTCTACTCGAGAACTTGAACATGTATTTATATTAGAAAGTGATAACGGTTCTGATAAAGAAACTGTACTACGCCCATCAGAAGCTGAACTAGATGCAGATTGATCAGCTCGAAAATTCACTAAACGTTCATTTGTAGCAGATACGATAGAGGATTGTTCTGGACGAGAAACTGGACGTCCACCTTCTGATATGTTATGATTGGTTGGTAATTCTGCACGTGATGGTCGGCACCCATCCATCAAAGATGTTGTATGTCGTTCTGTTGTTCTAGTTGGTTTTTCAGGTGTTTGAGTTGCTGGTTTATCTGCCATAGGAATAGCATGTCCATTTGCCAAATGAATTGAACACATTTTACTACTTCCTGGTTTATCATTCTCGTGTGGTTTGTGATGTTGAGTAGAATTGTGTTTATCTATACCAGATTGATTGGCACTAGCATTATATGTAGAACTGTGATGAGCATTGCTCTGACCACAAGATACTGACGACGGTGTGGCAGTTTCATTGGAATGTAATCTCATTCGACCACGTACTCCTCCATTCAACACGCTACAGTTACTTACAGTATCACTACTGCTAGCACCTACAATAAACAAATATATGAGTAATATAAGAATAGATTTAGATAGTACAGATAACAACTAAAATAATTGATTTACCATCTGGTACGGTACATGGAACTTGACATAATGATTCATTAGTATTGCTTGTTTTAGAATTATTAAGGTCAATTCTCAAGTTATCGAATAATGTATCCAATTCTCCAGTTTTTGGTAACTGAGCATCATGAACAGGTGTAATATCATTGATATCTATTGATAATCCATCGAAGACAGTTACTAGCTCTCCGATTTTGTTAACAGAAAAATCATGTTTATAAAAATTCATCAAATCAAACGTTAACTCCAAGTTTTCCAATTTTCCATTATAATGAGACAAGATTTGAAACAGACTTATTCTTTTCTCTCCTAATAAAGTGTCCTTTCTGAACGTGCTATGATCGAATAAACGAAAATGTAATTGAGAATACGGTTTGACCAAGACGTGAAATCTTTCCTCCCATTTTGGTTGATATGTCGATTTGGATACATCCGTTGTAAGAAGTCTTTCACCATCCACAGAAATTTCTATATAAGGATTAGGTTTTAAGAATGATGAACTTCTTAATACTGCCCCTTCGACTAAAATGACACACAAAACAGTATCACATATATTTGTAAGAAAAATTTGACTTGTAAAGTACAAAATTGATATAAATATAATAAGTATGTTTTTTTTTTATACTAACTTATAATATCTAATTGATAAAATCCAGATGACAAAGGTCCTTTTTTACCGTGGGACATCGTATGTTCTTTATTACGGTTCAATATAGTGATCCCACAAATCTCATAATTTCTTTAATCTTAGACGTAGCAATACCTAAAATATATATTACAATTTTTATAATATATACAAATTTAAATTGAATTTATGTTTATATGTATAAATAATATATCAATAATAACATTAAATTGTTCCATTCCTATGTAGGATCAAATGAAAAAAATAATCTTTCTACTTTGACTGTAATAACTTTGTCAATAAAACATTTAAAAGGCTAAGTTAGTTATAAAATATGGTGGAAAAATTTGGGGATAAAACTAGGACACCTTATATATATAGATATATATATATATATATATATCATGCATACACATACACATATATCAAAGTCTACTTATTCTATTACTCATATAAGACAATAATTACTTATTAAACTGATATATTATCTTTACGACATAAACATATAAGGTGATAATAAGAAACAACATGAATATGAGTAAGATTTGATAAAAATGATTTGCTTATTAAAATGTAGAGCAGATGATGGGGAAATACAAAAAATAGAAATAAAAATAAAAAGATGATACATATAATAATAATAATAAATAATTAAATGACACTTGTTCACACAAATTCAGTACAAGTATAATAAATCATTTAGTGACAGCTTAAAAATAAATAAAATAATCTATGCAATTAGAATAACATTACAATAAGCGTCGAGATATGTAATAATATAATTTTTTTTATAAATGTATATATATATACATCTGTATAAATTTTAGCCGATTAAATTGCATGATACTTTCTCTTCCATTTTCTTAATGATCATTGTCAAACTTTTCCGATAAAGAATACATGAAGAAATAATTAAAATGTAATTTAGGATTTTATTAAACACTTCCAAAATTGACGATATCATTAAACTTTTCTATTAATCGGTCACCATCTTTTCATGATCATTCCATACGTCACAAACATATAGAAAATCTTTGTCATATACATACTTTCGCATCTGAGTTGCGTTCCCAAAATTACCCCACCGTCAACTTTTATTAAACGTTCAAGGTGACATTTCTGCGATCACAAATCAGTTCAAATTATCACTACTGTCAATTAGAACATGTTTCTTTTTTAATCACCGTCAAATAGTTACCGAAATTAATAGGACAACTTGATTGAAGTTAGTATTTGCCAATAACGTGATACGAGACTCCTCTCTTTCTAGTGGTATTCAAAATATCACTTTACACACTGTCTATGACAAAAAAAAATGTATATTTTAAAAACGTCCGTACGTCTTTATATACCGTAATAATTACCCTTGTCTTTGACAAATGATTCAATGTTATTTAATAATTTTTCTACGATATTTGATAACTGTAAAATATAGATTAAAACTACATATATCTTGTACACTTTATTGAAATAATTACTATGTTTTCTTCTGACAATTTCATTATTGGTATTGAGCCAATGAGAGAACAGAGTGAACACGTGGCGCCACCACGATCCMACGGATTTTTTCTGTAATTATAATTTTTTATTAAAAATATTTCATTATAAATATTAAATCAATGAGAAAATATAAATAAATCTAAGAGCCACTTAGATCGTATCGATTTTATTTATAATTATTGTCATTTTTTTTTTTAAACATTACGCGTTTCATTGTTGAGGCTCGACCAATGAGAGTGTAGAGTACACGTGGCTCCACTTAAAGATCAAGCGGATTTTCAACGAATTATTAACCAACGAAAAAATAGTTCTCTCAAATAATAATATACATGATGATACTCATCTAGATTACGAGCAATTGCCCAATAAATGCACTTATATGCTCTTTGTCGTAAAATATGCGACAGATGCGCACCGTAGCGTGATTATTGCCAATTAATATGCGAGCATATGTAAGGTTATGGTAATTAATCGTTTCGTTATCGACGGGGCAGACTTGGAATTGGCACAATTGAAGATGAACTCAGACTGCGGAGTGCACTATCGTGTTTTTGTGAATTAATATATACGGGTCGGGACATGGCGTATGTTAATGTAGCCGAATGGAAAACACATCAAGTGTGCGAGTGGTTAAAAGGTGTTAACAAATGTTAATAACTTAACTGTATATTAATTGTTATCATCATTTATTTATCTATCGCGAAAATAATCGCGATAGCCGCTTTTTCGTGTGTGAGAGAGAGAGCGTGGGAAATCTTTTCTCAATTGTTAAATTTCCCCTCTTTGTACCCTTCGTACCCTTTGCTCCTCTCCATCCCTAGTCCTCATCATTATCATCATCATCTTTCAATTTATCGATGCAAGAAAACTGCAAGTTCCTTTGTTCTTTGATTAAGTTTATTCGAGAGAAAAAACCACGCCTTCTTCCTACGTTCTAATTGCATAATTCGTTAATTATGTTTCCTCGTGATGCCAATAATGAATGACCTTTGTTATAATGATATATTACGTTTGACATTAGATCGTCGAACTTAAATGCTATTTATATATATATATATATATATGTGTATATATGTGTATATATATATATATATATATATATATATATATATATTAGTCAACGGAAGTTATTTACATCCTGTTCCAATCTTTTCTTTACTTATTTTTGTATTTTTTACATGTCTTATCGTCTCACCGATTCATTACAATATCTTTAACTTGATTTTTAATATCATAGACAATAGAGTTATTGTTTTATTATTTTTTATTTTTATTGATTTAGGATATATGTTAATATAATATTCCATATTAAATTGATTATCTCTAACAATTATTTTCTTTATAAATCTTCAATAAAATGATATTTTGGAAGGAATAATTTTCTATAGATTTAAATGTAAATATGTATATGTAATGTTATATGTTAATGTATATATAATCATAGATTAATGGTATTTTAGGATTGGATAATGCTGTGCTCCCTTACGTTCATAGTTTTATGAATCATTATGTCAACGGACAACAACTTTTAAGTTTGAGACCAGAGGATCTAGAACATCTTGGTGTATTGAAACTTGGTCATCAAGAAATTATTTTAGAAGCTGTAGAATATTTAAGAAATTTCCATTACGAATTGGATCGTGAAAATTTGCAATTGTTAGCACTAAGGTTGTCCTGTCAGGCACATAGCTTGTACAATGAACTATCACGTCAAACTGATTCTAAACCTGTTACTACGCAAACATTATCGGATGTAGCGTCAGTAGTTATGACTGTAAAACCATTAGTAAGATGGCTTGATCGTCCTCCTTTCAGTGGTCAATTGGATTATAATGATAAAAAAGTCAAATTAATGAAATTAGCATTAGAAATGGCAACTTGTGCTCAAAGAGATAGATTTGCTGAAAAACCTATTGAAAAAATTCGATCTACTTGTGAACAATTAGCAAAATTGGCCGACTATGTAATTCAAGATGTTGCTGATCCAATGATTTTACAACCAGTTACCTTGGATTTGGCTACATTAAAAAAAAGACCTGGCGACGAGTTGGTAAGATATTATATTTCTAAGTAAATATAGGCTTAATTGGAACATCCTTTTTAGATAATGCCTTGTGTATTTTCTTATAATATTATGATTGTCACTTCCTTTATAGATAATTTGCTTTTATCTATACATCATATGTACAATATATACATATAAATTGAATATCATTTTTGTATTTTATATATAGGGATTTTATATTTTACCTTCCTTTCATGGAATACATCAAATAGCAGATATTAAATTTGGATCGGCTGCACATCAATGTGGAAAAATGGAAGAAGGAGATGAAATAGTTCAAGTAATATTTTATCCAATTTATTATTATTATTATTTCTCATTATCATCAATTGTTATTTAATTGTTAGTTAAAATACAATTGTCAGATTAATTATCAAACTGTCGTCGGATGGGAAAGAAAAAGCGTATTGGAATTATTCCGTGAGAGTCCTAACGAAATACTAGTAACATTGAAAAGAAGACCAAGGCATACTAAAGTATATGGACAAATTTATATTAAACCATATAGACTTCCGAGCAATAAAAAAACACCGTATACGACAAGATGGCAACATAATCTTCCATCACCACGACCAGAATTATTAACTATACCTGATTTTACTATGCCTTTGCCAAGGTATGTATGTGCATGATATATTTATAAGTTTCATTTAATTGAATTTATCTATATTTTTATTGTGATCAGGCATACACCAAAGAATACTAGCCCACAACCAGCAGATATTACAGATACTGTTAATATACTTGATACAATAGCAACCGATAGCAGCGATTCTGATAGCGAAGTTGAACCACCTGTATCTGTTCGTTTGTATTCTACCAAACCAAGAAGTTTAGTTCAAAGAAGAGCTACGATAACTGGTGCTAGTCCAACTACTAAACACGGAGTCGATATAGAACAATTTTGGAAAGAGTTGAAACAAGAACATAGCACTACATTCCAATTAAGAGATAAGGCAGCATCCTGTGCACACAGTTTAGATAGCGTACCATCAAATTTGCGCCCACAAACATGCTTAGGTATAGAATCAACGTTAAGAAAAAAAAGACCTGATACGCAAATAGATGATAAAAAAGATGAATCTAATGAAAAACCAAGCGAGACTGAAATAACTCATACGGATGAATGCAAAAGTTTATTACAAGATATGAAAGAAGTTAACAAAGTAACTACTATTAATAAAGAAGTATCAAGTGTTGTTTTAAGAAATGTTGATAGTTCTTCATTTCAAAAAATAATCAATTCAACTACCGTAAATAATATGAGTGATACAAATGTGCCTTTAGATGAATGTAACAATTGTTGTATTAGTGATAGATCTAATAATAATAATAACAACAACAACAATACTAAATTAAACAGTAATGAATTTAATGCGAGTAACGTTAAGGATCGTGGAAGATTAGATAAAAGTTATAGCACGCCTGCATATGAGGATTCTATAGAGAATAATGTTGAGATTGATAGAAAGTTATTACTTTTGAATAACTCATTTGAAAAGACTAATTATTCTTCGTCCAATGTTACGAATTCAAAGGATGTTACGTTTAATATGACTACTAATGAAAATAAAGAAGAACTACAGAATAGAGAAAATATAAATAATGAAGAAGAAGAAGAAGAAGAAGAAAAAAAAGAGGATAATAATGATGAAAATGTGATTGTTAATGTTTCACAAAAAATAACTAATTTTGAAAATAAGATTCGCTTGAACAATATTATAACAGATTCTACGCAAATAAATCTAGATAATAGAGATTGTAAAGATTGTTTGAAGGAGAACCAAAGCAATATTGTTGAATCTATAATATCGGATAACGAATTAGCCGATAAAGAACACCTAGTAGATAGCATAAAACATAAGGAAATAGACAATACTATAAAAAGTGACTATCATAAAATAACTGAGAACAATATAATTGACTACGATACGAAAGAAGAAAGATTAGAATTAAATACTAATTATATTGAATTAAAATCTGGCAGCAATAATGAAGACGACGACGTAGCATTAAAAAGATTTGGTAAGATTTTACAATCTAGTGACTATAATTCAATGGAAAAATTAACAACAGAACGACAATATTCTAGTTCACATGTAAAAGAAGTTTCTACAGACGTACAGGAAGAAATACCAATAAATAATTGTTGTAATTATAATGTAGAAATGCAAGATATTATGCAACGTACAACAAAGATTCAAATTAGTCCAAATTCACGTAATAATGGTATGAAAAATTCAAATCCTATCGTTGTTGAACCTAAAATACATTCTTGTAGATATATTGAATTACCTAAAGTTGAATCTACTAAAAAATTTGAAATAAGATCACATTTAATACCACCTGAACCACCACCTCGTAAATATATTCCTAAACCAGCAGAAGTACCTGAATCTGGTAATGTTTTGAAATCAACAGGTAAATCTATAATATCACCAAGACATCATATGAGAAAGGATTCTAAAGGTGGTAATATTTTGATAGAAAGAAACAACGATTTAGATCACAATGAAAGTGACGATTGTTTGAGTATTTATTCGAAAAGAATGGACAAATCTTCGAGTTTAAATAATAAATTAAACGCATCGATTGACAATCAAAGATCAATATCAATTGATTCTACTACGGATATTAATAATTTTGAAATTTATGATAAACAATTGAGAGATGAAAGATCATCCCATTGTGAGAAACATGAACAATTCGTAGACAAATTTGTTGTTTCTTCTAATAATTCATTGTCGGATTGTTACAAGTCTGATAACTGCTCTTGGAATAGCGATTTTTCTGAAAGTTCAATCTGTACAAAGCAAGAACAATTATTGGAATCATCCAGATCGAATATTAGCAAACTATCAGAAAAAGATAAGAGCTTTGAGAAAGCTGTTGTTAATAAAGCTATGATGGTAGCTAGAAGTATTGGTTTACATGGAGGTTTGAGTAAGTCTTCTAGCAACAGTCCAAGAAGTAATAGAAAGAGGAATACCTTATTAGCAAGTAAGTATAATTCAGTTGAATTTTTACAATTGGATGATAGATATTTTATATTTATTTATTTATATGTTTCTAATAAATCTCTTTTTTTTTTTTTTATTTAAATAGAAAAAAGAAACATATCCGTAAAAGATCTTGGTATGGGCGATATGGAAGGATGGTTAACATATCGCAGTAGAGGTGCTGGAGGTGCATGGGCCAGAGCATGGTTTGTTTTGAAACGTGCAGCTTTGTATAGGTGAATATATCAAGAAATATATTATGAATTATTGAAATAATATTAATAAAATTATAAGTACATTATTTTAATCTTATTATCTTATTATTTATAGGTTCAAAATGCAAAACAGTACGAAAGCTGACTGTCTTATAGCTTTAACAGGTTTTACAGTATCACAAGCAACTGAAGTCAAATCAAGGAAGCATGCTTTTAAAGTTTATCATACAGGAACAGTATTTTATTTTGCTGCTGATACTGAAGATTGTTTAACTCTTTGGCTCGATGCTGTAAATAAAGCAACATTGGGAACAGACGTACACAATAGAAACAGTGCACTTTTTAGTGAAACTGACGAAAGTGACAATGAATATAAAAATAAGTTGAAACTCACTAATACTCCTGAAAGTAAACCTAACGTGGAAAAATCATTTGGATCTTTAAAGAAAACTGTACGAAAGGATCAATTATACAAAGACCATGAAGCTGGTGGTGCGAGTTTGGATAGAAAATATTTAAGATTTCTTGGTACAAGAAATCAAAATATTCCTGTACCAACAGCTCAGTTTAGAAGTTATAGAAGAGTACTTCCTACAAATATGGCAAATAAGTAAATATTTATATATATAATTATGTTTAAGCAAATAGAATCAAATTTATGTTATAAAATCTTTTTCTTTTTTTTTTTTTTTATAGAAAAGAAGATTGTATGACGTATTCTCCAGATTTACAAATGACAATAGCAGGAAGTACGTTTTATGGATTAAGTGCTTCTCAAAGTGCCACTGATATGTCTTATAGTAATCAAGAAATGATTGATTATCGACGTCCTGCTGCAGATAGGTAAATATAATCTTAATTATCAAAACGACGTATCTTTTTATCAATGAAATTTTCATATTTTCATTGTACACACTTAGATTTACCAATTGTCGCAGTAAAAAACCAGAAGAATTGCAAGGATTTATAACTTTAGAACAATTTATGTTGTCTCAACAAGAGGAAGATCAAAGACAAAATACAATGCAAAGATCAATATCTCCTCGAGTTACACCTAATGATCACATTTATGCACATAATAGACACGTTAATGATGTTTGTCTAACTAACGATGAATCGTATGCTGCTGATGGATATATTAATGAAGGAATTGTTTATAATCAATATAAAAATAATAGTGAGATTTCTTCTTCTTCTTCGTTGTGCAGAAATTCCAAAACACCTGACGATTATTACAAAACAACTCGTCAACAAAATTTATCATCATCATCATCATCATCATCAAATGTTATTACTTCGAATGATAAAAAAACAGATTGTTGCTTACACGACAAATCTTGTAAATGTAAAAATGTTATACAGCACAAAAGACAATTAGATCTTAGTAACAATTATAAAAGAAGAACACAAGATAATTTGTCTCATCAATCATTTAGACAAAATGATTCTTTACCGAGACGACACGAATTCCCACAACCAACAGTTCCAGTCTGTCATAGTACGCCTGATACTCGAAGTGATAGTAGACATAGAAATATCAGTTATGATCGTAATGCACATTTACCTACTCGTGATATACAGTTCATAAATCATAAAGAAAATAAAAGATCTAACGATTATGCAATTCCACAAGAAATAGGTACTTTGATAGATGATCTTCGATTAGTATCTAAGAGACTTCATAAAAACGAAGGTAAATTAATTATTATTATTATTATTTATATTGAATTTATTTTCAATGATTATATATTAATTATTATTACTTCTATAGAAAATTCAGGATCTAGCGGTGATCTTACATATTTTGTTTCTTCTGATACGTTACAACGAGCAAAGAAGGAAGCAACCGTAACGCGTAAAGGAAGTTTTAATCTAGCTAATCATTGTCGAGATTATTTTCCTTCGGATAAACGTTGGCTTGATTCTTTGAGATGCGTTGACAAGAAGAATATTAATTATGATAGAAATCGATTGAAAAATGCGGCACAATATCAGCCTCCACCGATACCAGCTTCGTCGTTTGAACAAGAAGGAATGAGAGCTACTTTTGAGATGCATCTTGATAAAAAAGATCAAGTTCAAAAAACTAATAGATTGAAAACTTTATTCAGCACTAAAGGTCATCAAAAACCGTGTACTTTGGATTTACCTAAAGACGGTCAAAAAACTTTACTAGGTAAATATTCAACATTATTTTTATAATACGTAGGTTGAAACTTAAATAGTAGCAACTATTTATTCACAACCGATACAAAAGAGTTACATGTTTGCACCTGTTACTGTCCCTCAAAGTAGTCACCAGCGTTGTGTAGAACCCGTTGCCAGCGTTAACAGAGCCTGTTCTGTTGATGGTGCGAATGGAACGGTCTACTGCCATGTCTCATCCAGTGTTACTCTCCTTCGCGCTCATAGCGCTCCAAGTGCGTCTGAGCAGCAGCGTCGTAGCGCATCCATTTCTGCATTTCCGTCAATTCATGCGAAACCCATCGTGGCATTCGCTTCAGAACTGTTCCAGAGATTCGACAGGCAGTAGATCGCTCCATTCGCATCATCAACAAAGTAGGCTCTGCTAATGGTATACTACGCCTTCCACATCGCTGGCAACGGGTCCTACACAACGCTGGTGACTACCTTGAAGGACAGTAACAGGTGCAAACATGTAACTCTTTTGTATCGGTTGTGAATAAATAGTTGCCATTATTTAAGTTTCAACCTACGTAGATTATTATATTATTATTCATTTATCTGTTGTATTAATCATTTTAATTTGATATAGGATCACCGAGATTGCACAGAGCATTGTTTTGGGATAAAAATTCTAATCATCAACAAAAATCTTCTATCATCAACGAGACTCAAAGTCCTGGTGATAGTGGAATCAGTCAATCATTAAGTTCCTTCAGTACAAACAGTCATTCCCAAAATTTAAGTTACAGTTGCAGTTCAATGAGCGATTGGAGTCCTGATACACCAGGACCTAACTCGCCACGCACATCTAGAGTAAGTAAAAAATGAAAAAAAATGTCTTCTTAATAATCAATTTAAAAATAATGTTTATATATATATATATATATTTTGTCTTCAGTCTAACGTTGGTGGTCACGTGTATCAAAAAGAAATGTCATCTTCAGAAAGAAAATGTCTTTCACCACCAAAGTTACCTTACATACCACCACCAACATCTCCACCTCCTGATTATCCTGGATTGGAGTATCCACCTGTATTTGAACCTGGTACTTATTCTTTGTCAGATGCTTCTTTGTTACGTAATCGTAATAAGACTATCGATAGTAGTAATACTCAGTAAATAAGAAATACAAACATTAAATACTAATGTATGTATAATATCATCCCACACAGTGTGTGTATATACTGAAAGTTACTTTAATAGAAACAACCACCAAAGATAATTCTTTTCACTGTAAAGTATTATTTGATAAACGAAAATGTTACAAGATTTCTATTAATTTAACTGAAATTCATATTAGTAACAACAAACAAGCAAAATAAGAAAAAAAAAAAAAAAAAGAAAAACAAGGAAAATGTGTTTAGAACTATGATTCAGTTTAAGAAAAAATAAATCTGTCCATTTTTGTCGCCTGCACACGTTCCAACGATGTGATGCTGCTGCAAAGAATTATATAAATTAGTATTTGACAATTTTTTATATAATGATAAATTGGTATACTGTTTATAATTAACATAAGTATTGAAAGAAACAGTTTCGCGATTATATAGATAACTGGAAGACTGAGATAATTGTTATTTAACATTGCCTTCTAGGTGCTATAAAATAGTGGTTGTGTTCAAATCTAAGAACTCCAAAGAATTCTACTTTTTACTACTATATATATATATACATAATATATACATATATATATATATATATTATGTATATAGTTGAAATTCTTAGATTTAAACAATTTTCAAATTATTACTTTACTTTACTTTACTTTATTTTCCTACTTTACTCTTTTTTTTTTTTTTTTTTTTAAATAATTTATGTACTTTTTAAGAGCATATCACGTACTCGTAACAGCGAGAAAGAGATTTTTTTACAATATAATACTAAGTATATAATTTTAAGAGACATTACACATACACAACAACAACAACAACAACAACAACCTTTTATTACTCTTATATGCTTGATTCTTTTTTATAGCAAGAATTTCAAACGAATTTTTATATTGTCAAATATGTACATTTTTATGTAAATTGATATATTTCATTTATGTACGCACACATATATATATATATATATATATATATATATATATATTTTATAAAGTTATAATTATATTTTATTGCAAAAGTGATTATATGATGAAAATTTTTCGTGTAGGATTTAATTTGTAAATTGTTTTTTATATATATATATATAATATATAATTCCTACACATTTTTTATTATTAATAATGCAATAATAAATAAATTAAGTTGCTTCTTGTTTTAATTAAAGTTTTTATATACAAAAAAAATCGGTGAAATACCAATACTATTATATCTCTAGTATTATTAGCGTATTAGTATTAATTATCTTTATCTTAATATATATATATATATAAATTACGTGTCACGTTGTTTGTCCGCAATGGACTCCTAAACTACTGAACCGATTTTAATAAAATTATGCACACCGTGTGCAGTTTTATCCAACTTGAAAGATAGGATAGTTTATATCTCAATTTATATTATAATATATAATAATATTCACTATTGTCAATTGTTTTCAATTGTATGACTTACAGTATGAAGAAAAAAAAAATGGAAAGAAAGAAAAAAAATTATATTTAATCATAATATTATTATAATAAAACTTTGAAGTTGCGTAAAAAAAGAAAAAAAAAAACAAGATTTTCATGATGATAAATGTGATGAAACGTGAAAGTGCCTACATATTTTTTTATTGTAAATTATACATATATATATATATAAATTAGAAAATAGTTAAATAATTATCTATCTATACTTGAAGATATTTATAAAAAAAAAAAGAAAGAGAAAGAAAGAAAAAAAAGTGAATAAATTTTGTATACAATTAGGCGAAACAAACAAAAATTAGTCAATAAAAGCTAATTTGTTGTTGTTTTTTTTTTTTTTTCAAATTTTAAATGCACACATTATATTCTTTGTTAACGTTAGAGTTAAAAAATAAAAGAAAAAAAAGTTACAAAAAAAAAATGAAGAAAAAAAGGATGAATTTTTTTTTCTTTTTTTTGTAAAGTATTATTATAATACAACGATTGATATATATTAAATTGTTTTTTAACTCGATATAATAATAACTTGAAAAGTTGCAATTTTAACATGTAAGCAAAATATTTGATCCGTTTCAAATAAGCCATTAAAGTAACATTTTTCAAATAGCATTTGTTATTGTGCAAATAATATTTCATTTGGCTGGCACATTTTATTATTTTACAACAATTCGAATATGTACATTTGTAAAAGATGTATTTTATGTAATTTAATCCCGAGAAGAGCATCATTCTTTCTCACGAATCCATCTAATAAAAGAAAGAAAAAAAGAAAAAAAAAGAAAGAATAATTTTTTTTTTTCAATATTTAAAACTTCATTATATTATTATTATTTTTTTTTTTTGTTTTGCTTTTGTTCATTTACATTGAAAGTTTTACGATCAAAATGAATTGTAATCATTTGAAAGTTGGGGGGATAAAGTGAGTATTGGAGAGAAGTAGTGGTTGTGTGTTGTAGCCGTTCTAGAACTATTTTTTTTAATAATTTTTTCTAGTTTGTTGTTGTATTGTAATCGAGAACGACTTACATCGATGGTAATGTGTATGTCTGGCTAAAAAATGTCAGCAATAAATATAGACAAAAGTATATTTTTTTAAAAATATTTACGACTTATGTATTTTTTTCTTTTTCTTTTTTTTTTGTTGTCTCAGAAGCCGTGGATTCTTATTATATAGGATTATTATATACAAACATAACAATTTAACCATATACAAAAAATTTTAACTACGCTTAATACGTAAAAAATTTTTAATACAATGCTATTGTAAATGTATTTTAATCTATGCTGTAAGATCCCATCATTGATTTATCATCTTAATACACTAAATATATTTATTACGAGAGATATATACATATACATATATACATGTATACATATATATATATATATATATATATATCATTACATATATATATATATATATTATGTTCATATGCACTTTTATATTATTAGATTCGCTATATTATACAATCTTATATTATTCTCATTTTTTAACAGTCTCCTTCCCCATGCTTACTTTCTAAAACTCAACTAAGATTTATACAAAATTTTACAATAATTATATTTACAAAAACTGATTATTGATTTATACATATATACGTATATAGATATATAAATATACATCTATAATATATGTATGTATGTATACATTTATATCATCTACATACATATATATTTACATATATATATATATATGGATTATTTATATTACATCATTTTGTTTTCAAGATAATCTTAATATAATCAAATTATTATTTCACTATTTGAACTTTTGGTATTCTACCATATTTAAAATGTTATATTGCAAATCACCTCTCTCTCTCTCTCTCTCTCTCTCTTTATAGCAATGAGAGCTGTAGGTTGTTTTTTTAAATTTTATTTTTAATTTTTTTTCTTTATCTTTTTTTGTAATTTTTTTTTTCTTTCTATTATTTTTTTTCCTTTTCCTTTACATTAGAAGATAGAAATCTATGAGCCATAGAGTAATTGTTAATGATAATGCATGCAAAAGTAGAATAATAAGTGGTAAAGTTTTTTTTTTGTCTTTTTTTTTTTTCCTTTTCTTCTGAAGACTTAATATATATATATATATATATATTCCTGTTTGTTTTTATTCTTTTTTTTTTCTTATTTTACAACTGCAACCTGGCAGTATTAGAATTCGATTTGCTTACTTTTTTTTTTTCTTCTATTTTTGTTTTTTCTTTTAAGAAGATCTGATGATAGGTAAACAACATGGTTATCTTTATCATTCGTTTAGATTTATCTCATTATATGTAGTAGTTCTTTTCAAAGTCATTTCATAAATATGAAGTTATAGAAGACACGAAGAATCCTGTTTACAAGCTACAAATGTTTTGGATGACTTTTTCTAAGAATATTATAAGAATAGTCATTTATAAAATGTTCTGCTAATTGCTTCAGTATAGGGCACGTAGTTGTATGCATGTATGTATGTCTGTCTGTCTGTATGTATGTATGTATGTATGTATATGTGCGTTATAGATAAGTGAATGTGTTATGTAACAGTTAAATCAATATGTAGGAAACCTTCTCAACTGGCCAGCAGTTAAAAGGAACCTTGTGAATTTGTGTCCATTTTTTGAAAGATGATCGATGATAATTCTAATTAGTAATTAATTAAACAAATACACGAATCTGTGTATACGCGTTGATTATGAAAATGGAAATATAATTTATAATAGAGAATACTTCTTACATGATAAATTAAACTCTTGGTTCTCATAAATTTGCTCGAAAATTCAATTTATCTTCTAATCGTTAGATGTAGCTACTACTTTTATTCTCTAATGTAAAATAAATATATTCTTATAGCTGCTTGGTATATGAAATTTTTCCATTAAATCATATAAATATAATATCATTGTTCAAGACAAAAAAATTTTGTTAAAAAAAAAAAAAAAAAACAAGAAAAGAAAAATCACTTTTCAAATTTCATTCTAGTCTCAAATAATAAATTATCTAACAAATTAACGTATCATTTTATTGCAGGTTGTTGTTTTGTCGAAGAATCACCAATAATAAATCAGATCAATTGATTATCTCGCATTTGAAGTTCTTTGATGATTCAATCTTGCACTCGTCGTCTTTTTCTTTATCTCCTTCTTCTTGTTCGAACTGATAGATAAATAATGGCAGTATCTTCATTCGATAGACACACATACGTAAGGAAGATCAATGAAGATTAATTAGAGTTTCAAAATGGTGGACAATTAACACCAGGATGAAGGTACTGACATTTCTCGCCTACCCTACAATAACCATTTTTGGTAAACTGCATGCAAACACGCGGTTGTTTACCGTTCCCTCTCCATCCACCACCGCCACCTCTCCAACCTCCTCCCCTACCAGGACCACAACCTCTATACCAACCAGGACCAGGACCTCCTCTACCTCTAACATGCATTGGACCCACTGGACCTCTCGGACCTTGAAAGTTAGGACCAGGACCAGGACCAGGACCATACATTGGTCCTGGAGGACCTTGAAAGTTATTCGGATTCATATTATTGAATCCCATATCTTCTGGCCCCATCATACCATAACCATCTTGTTGATTATACATTGGCGGTGGACCCATCATACCAGGCGGTACCATTGGACCACCTTCCATTCCTTGAGGAAATGTTGCAGGCATATTTGCCATTGGATTCATTGCTACATCAGGTACAACTACTTTTCCATCCCCCGTTCTCCAACCACCACCACCACCTGTAGCAGAAGGTATTGGACCTGCCAATTCAGGTGCCATTTGCCCCATATGTGTTGGAGGCATCATTTGCTGAGGAATTGGAGGTATAGAATTTATTGTCCCTTGTGGACCAACAGGTGGCATCATTGGCTGTTGAGTATGTGAATAAGGTGGATAATGGAAGTTTGTTATTGTGGAAGGCTGAACGGGTAATTGAGGTTTTGGCTCTGGCCACGTTATATTTGTAAAGTCTTTTTCACTCTCCTTATTGCCTGTTAAATCGTCTAAAGGAATAACTTTTGGATCAGTAATAATATGGTGACGTTCTTCGTCTGGTTCCGCAGCTGAATCAGGTATCCTACAGAAACAACAAAACAATCAAGAAAAAAATAATTATTCTTCCATTAAATATTACATCATTAATTATATTGTCAATGAATATTTATCAAATAATAAACTTACATGCTTCGATTGAAATAAAGTGCTTGTAGGATTCCTTTTTCTCTAGCATATTGAATATCCTTCTCTCTACTATCTTTACCAGGCTCTACCAATGCTGGAGGTAAGTCAATAGGAATTAATTGTTTCCATCGTGTTCTCTCTTCCATCAAGTCTTCAGTACCTAATAATAATAATAATAATAATAATCAATATATTATCTTAAATGTTCAACAAACTATTACTTTTTCTTATCATAAGTAAATATTACAACTTGAACACTTACTTAATTTTCTTGCCATTTGGAATGCTTCCCTCTCGTTTTGTTTTTCCATTTGTTTCATATCAGTGAAGGTTTTGGTTACATTGACCCTTTCCGTTTCATCCAATTCAAAGTAACGTATTGATTCTAAATCTGTCTTCCATTTTAACGTTTTTTTAGGACCTTTACGTTTTTGTAATAAAAGAACACTTCTTAAACCATCGACGTAACGAATTTCTGGATAAGGAATTATTTCTTTCTTCAATGAATCCAAACCATCGGACGATGCATCTTCGGGAGAATCGGATGCTTTTATTTCTTCTGTATCATCTTCTGGCGTTGGTGCTAAAATATTATCAAAAATATTATTCATTGTTTTATTTGATTATACATGTGTAAATATGAACAAATAAAAATACGTACTGCTGCTTCCATCATCGTCGTTGTTATCTCCATTATCCTTTTGATTATCAATAATATCTTCTTTATCTCTCTTCATTTCTTCATCGTTAATTTCTTTATCTTTCTGTTCCTTGTCTTCTTCCGTTTCTAACGTATCTTGATAAAACTATTTTTCAAAAACAAACAAACAAACAAAGAAAATATTTAATAATTTCAATCAAATATTATTACAACATGATTTTATATTTATGATATTTTTCATCAAATCAACAAACAAATCAAAATGAAATTAATTCATTATAATATGATATTTAAATATTTAACATATAATTGCAATAATATATGAATATAAATATCAAAGGATCAAAATTCACTTCCATTATTAACTTGGAACAATTATAATATAAAAAAGTTTTATATATTTAAATAAATATATGTAATATAAGAAGATATATTTTGTTATTTCAAAAAAAAAACAAAACAAAAAACAAAAAAGCAAGAAAAATAATTGTAAAAAAAATAGGATTTATAAATTGTACATAAAAAAAAAAAAAATATCTAAAAATACCTTAAAATTAGGCTTGACAACAACAGGTGTTTTTTCTTCAATACTCGACGGTGACGTAGGTGGTGGTGTAGTTTCACGATTATCAGAAATACTTAATTCCTGTTTTTTCGGATCCGACGAGCCATCCTTCGTTATTGAAGTTCTACGTTTTCGTTTTCTTGGTTCTTTACTTTTTGTCGATGCAGTTAATGCATCCATAAACATATCACTTTCTTGTAGCATCATCGCTGTAACATTCAAAATTGCAACTACTATAAGTAAAATATTATATGATACGTTTGAATGAACAATAAAAAAATCAATTAAATATTAAATATTAAATTTAAATATATAATATATAATGCAATATTTTTATAATAAATTTTTAATGAAAATTTATCTCTCTCTCTCTCTCTCTCTCTTTTTCATTGTGTGCTTTTCTCATACAGATAATCCCGATGTGTGATCTGGAAAAGAAGATAAACAAAATAGAAATTTCACAATAACATAATTAATTTTTATTATTATAATAATTATAATAATAAGTGGAGAAGAGGAATAATAAACTTTTATTACATATTACATACAAATACAATGATTTAACAATATAAATCTTATTGAAATAAATCTAAATCTAATCGAACGAAGTTTTCTTCTTTCTTTTTTTTTTTCTTTTTTTTTTTTTTATTATTATTATTATTTCGAAATAATTGCGGTGTAAAATTGTAATAGAACACAATTACATATTCTATATAAATATATATATAGTTATAGTGCAACATTTGTCTTGCAAGTTTATGAAATATGAAAATATAACGAAACAAAAGTACGATAGTTAAACTTTAGATACGAAATTATGACTTTTATTATAAATCGCAATGTTATTTATTAACGATTATTATATTAATAAAAAAAAAACGAATTTCTTTATGCAACAAATGCAACACGTTATAATCAATCAATAATTATAGTTTAATAATTAAATTACATTGAGAAGGAAGATAAAACGCGTGTCTATTCTAATCAAGAGAATAAATTGTATATATACATATACATATATATATGTATATATAAAAACTCGACGTATTCAATTAAATCAAGAAACGATGAACAATCATCTTATCTAACAAAAATATTATTTATCTGTTTAATAACAATGCGAATAAGAAATTAATTATTGTCTCGTTTAATTTGAAACAAAAGCAAGCGTTCTTCTATTTAAACGTCAAAGATTATTAAATTGAATTAAATTAATAACATAATATGTAACACATTGTGTATAAATTATTTCAATTATCATCATTTTAATATTAAAATCTCGTGTCTTTAAATAAGACCAAAAAAAACAAGAAAAATATAACAAAAATTCAAATTAATTTCAAAGAACTATAACTCGATCGAGAAAAAATACACGCTTATATATTATATATGTATAAATGTAAATATATATATATAAAATCTTTCTTTCTTTTTTTCTTCTTCAGTATTCAGTATTCGTATTTCTATAAATGATCAATTAACATTAAGGTAAAAACGTTTCGTTAAATCAATAAAACCTTATATATTAAATTATTTTACTTTATCAACATTTTATTTAACATCTCTTTTTTAATTGCATTTCTTATATTGTTTTCTAATATTATGATTAATAATATTATTAATATTATTATTATTATTATTACTGTTGTTATACTTGAAACGAATATTGTATATAAATAATCCAAATAAATAAATGCAAACATAACTCCCTCTCACTCACTCACTCACTTACTCACTTACTCACTCACTCACTCACTAAGTCTCTCTTTTTCTCTCTTTCTCTCTCCCTTATCCATCTTTATTTCTTTTATCACGCTAATTTACTAAAATGTAAGAAGGCTGGTGTATGATACGTTGTATTAAAACGTAAGTAAATTTAGTCAAATTTGTTTGAAGTTAATGAAATTTTATCGATTGTTCCAATGATTATTTATCTCAAAGAAAGATCAACTTACATAGAATTTGATTGATTTATATAATTGGATAAATAAATAAATAAATAAATAAATAAATAAATAAATGATCGATAACAAATTACTTTCGTTTAAATACTCGTCAGATATCGTTCTTTTTGTTGTTGTTATTGTTGTTGTTGTTGTTGTAATTAAATAATTCAAATTCGTGTTATATAAAGTGAAGACTTTTAATATACATAAAATGCTGCTATTACGTTTTATTATGTAAATATGTAATCATAGATGTTAACGATAAATTATATATGAATTGTATATGTATATACTCTGTATATATATATTATATGCATTTAATATATATATATATATATGTATGCATATGATTAGGAAAACGCGCGCGCATATATACAGGAAACAATACTTTTACACGCGTGCACTTGTTTTCTTCGTTGTATCGTTTTTTTTTTTTTTTTTTTTTTAATTCATCCTTTATGCGTAACAGCAAAAAAAAATATCGAGAGTGGACAATTAAACGTAAGGATAAAAAAAAAAAAAAAAAAAAAAAAAAAACGCGTTATAATTTATATTCCTTTTTATTTTCTTTTCTTTTCTTTTGTTTTTCTTTTCTTCTCTTTCTTCTCAAAATAAGAAAAATATATATTTAGAAAAATTATACTTCTTATATATATATTTTTTTCTTGATAATAAATAATAAAAGAAATATTTTCAAAAATACATTGATACAGTTAAAAATTGTATTATATTTTCAATTGTATCAATTAACAGTATATCATAATTTAAACATTAATGGAAATGAATATATTAAACTAATTGAAAATTGAGCTTTCTATTTTTTATTTATCAATCAAAGTAAATAGTGGCAAAGTATATATCGTCACCCTATATTATATTAATGTAATTATATATATATATATAATCACAATAATAAATATATATATAGCATACAATAGGATATACATATATATATATATATATATCCTATTGTATGCTATATATATATATATGTATATCCTATACATGCAAAAAAAAGACGCAATTACATGAAACCCTACAAATGATTCAAATAAATAAATGAATAAATAATAAAATATTGCAAAAATGAATTCCAATAATATGTTAATTTTCCTTTCAATTAAAATCTATTATATTTAACAAGAGTATGGTGTAATTTAAACAAGGAACACACTCTACCGCTTTTATTTCGTTTCTTCTATTATTTAATTGCCTTCTTATTTTTTTTTCTTTTCTTTTCTTTTCTTTTCTTTCCTGAACAGGATTCACATCAACACAATTATTGCAATCGAATGGTTGTTCCTTGAATCAGATCCAACTGAAATCAATATATATATATACATAATGAAAACAGTAATAATAAATATTTAATACATATAATTCCAGTGTACTAAAAAATTACAAAACTATATCAGGATTAATAATATTTCTAATAGCTTTGTACAAAATACCTATTTTCTTGTTGTTTTTTTTTCATTCTTTTGTATAACTGATATATGTATATATATAAAGCACAAACACGATTGATCAAAATAACTTTTGTAATTATTGCATAAACGAAAAAAAAAAAAAAACAAAGTAAGAAAGAAAGAACTAAAAAGACAAAAAAAAAAAAGAGAGAGAGATTGCCAATTTTGCAAGGATTTGACGATTAAAATTTAAATCATAATTTGGTATATATATGAAACCTATCATATTTCTTCTTTATAATTGTACTCATAATTATAAAAGTGGTCTAACATAAGTCAAAATTAATAAAAAATGAGTTTATCAGTTATTACGCACTACATTATTATAAACTAAATAAATTCAATGTAATTTGAAAACGATATTATCTAAGATGAATCGTTAGATAATGTTTGTTATTTCAATATTGTATAGAATTCGTATAGTGTTCAAGTATAAGTCTTTAAATATCTCGAAACAAGAGATTTATGAAATTATGGGCACAATTATTTTATTTTCTTTCATTTAATATTCTCTTAAAAAAAAAAAAACTTATGACAGAAAGAGTATAGAAAAGAAGACGAAGAAGAAGAAAAAAAAATGTTACGATGCTACAAAAATAAAAAAAATAAAAAAATTAACAAAATGTGCAAAGTATAAGCGCGTAAGTTGAGATATATATATATATATATATATACGATTAATAAGATTAATTATTGTTTTTTTTATATATATATATATATATATATATATATATATATAAGTATACACGTGCGATAATAAACAGCTGATGATGCACGCGCGCGCGCGCGCGCACTCACGTGGTGCGCGCGTAGAATGAAGTGTGACGCGACGCGACAACATCGCTTATAAACATTCGTCTACTTTCGGATATTTCCCGAGTCGAATCGAAAGCGCAGTGCGTCATTGCGCACTTCCTCATCGCGCCGACATTGCACACAACTACCAATCATTACCTTGACTCACAACCCCACTACTACTTTCTTTTCCCCTTCCCTTCTTTACTACCCCTTTTTGCACCCTTACGAATCACCACGTTGTAAAATAGTTTTTCCTTTCTTTTCTTCTGTTTTTCTTTTTTAATTTCAATATTATTACGATGATACTTAGTAAGAAAATATAACAAATAAAAATATAAATATAAATAATAAGAATAATATATAATTATTGTAAAATTAAAAAATAAAAAGAAATAAAAAGAAGAAGAAAACGAAGACGAAGACGAATCAATGATGGCCGACGTTAACACGAATTATTATGCTACATATCGTAGTTTTTTTTTTTTTTTTTTTTTTTTACACCTCTTTCTATATACATAAATTATTTGTTTATTATTTTGGCAAAAGGCCCTTCGATAAATATAATAAATTTATTGAAATATACAACACGAATACTTTATATACGTCACGCGAAAAGAACATACACTTCCTCAACGTTTAATATTATTTCAATAATATACATATATATATTTTCAAATTCCCGCCAAGAATGAGATAAGAAAGGAAATGATGGATCGTTTAATATTCGAATTGACAACGAACACGTTAATGGCGAAAACGTATTTTTAATGACAATCACAATAATAACGAAGAGACAATAAATCGTGCAACGATTATATCAAAATAAATATAATAAATTATTTCTTTAAAATAACACGCGCGTTAAGAAAAATTTCATAAAGATGTTCATAATACTGTACTGGTTTCTTTTTTGTTTTCTTTTTTTTTTTTTTTTTTTTTTTTTTTCCCCGCCACAAAAAACATTCTTAGTGAAAACGCGTTTACAACCGTGTTACAAAAACAACAACAAAATGCCGCCATTTATTTTTAATAATACAAATCATTCTAAATTTCTTTTTTATTATCCGTTGCGAACTTAAACGTGTATGTATTTATATGCATATATATATATATAATATTTATATGCATAACATTTTTTTTTATATGCACGAAATTTGATCTTCCTCTTCTATATCCACTTGAAAACCTTTGTATATCCCCTCTCCCACACTGACCACTATAATAATTCCCAAATCTAGTAACAAAATACATCAAAAATTTCCTTGCTCTCTCTCGTTTTTCTTCCTTGTTTTTTTATTGGCTCGTATCTTTTTATAACTTTTCATTCTTTCTTACTTTCTTTCTTTCTTTCTATTTTTTTTTTTTCGTTTCGAGCTTATTTTTATACATATATATATATGTATATATATAAAATATATTTAACGTGATCGCAGAAATAATGCAACGAAGAAAGTGACTAAAATATCACCACGTCGTTGTCGTCATTGGGAAGCACCATCGAGAGACATCATCAGCGTGTTACAGGTAGTTACAAGGGACTGGTCATCATCCGTAAGGCCCCTTTTTTCATTGCCATAAAAGAGGGCGCAGAAAACGTAGCTTCCGATTGCTCCCCCTGGCTTGCTTTTTTTTCCATCTTGTTTTTTAAACTTCATTTTTTTTTTTTTTTTTTTTTAAATATTATATTTAGTATTAAAATATAATCTTTTTTATATTATTATTTCTTTTTTTATTATTTTTTTTTTTTCAGATCATTGCTTTTGCTCGTTTTTCTTATTCGCTCTCGCTCACGCATACGATTCTCTCATTTGTTTATTTCACGCACACACCCTCTCTCTCTCTCTCTCTCTCTCGCTCTCTCTCTTTCTTTCTCTAACAAGGATTTCAGGACTTTACCAGCCCCAAACAAATTTCAATTCTCTCTTTTTATTTTGATCTTCATCTCTCTCTCTCTCTCTTATAATCAATTAAATGTACCGACTTAATAAATATGCGAGTAATTTTGTGAAATTCAATTATAAAATAATAAGAAAAGAAAATCATACATTGTATATATCATTGTATCAAGTTTTCTTTCTTTCTTTCTTTTATCTATCTATTAATAATTATAATAAATAATTGAATTTTTTTTGTCTTCTCTTTCTCAAAAAAAAATACAAAAAATTCGAAATGGCATCGTAAATTGAATTATTACTTTGTTTATGTTCTATAGTAAATTTGTAACACTCTATTTAAAATGTAGAATTGTTAATTGTCTAAACGAAACAAGACTTTTTCACAACGTCAAATTTTCATTGAATTTTATAAACACATTGTAAAAGAGAAAATTATCCAGTAAAAATGTTCAAACTTGTTAACTAAAAAAGACTTGTTTTTTTTTTCTTTTTTTTTTGTTTTAATAGGGTATAAAAATTATGTGCTTATCCATTTTATCGTATAACAAGCTTCAATAATATATGGAAAAGCATTTTGGTACAATGCAGTTAGATTGTTTTAACAATTTCAGATATATAAAATGAATATTCCCTTTTATTTAGCAAAATTATTGTTATTGCATTAATTCGATGTTGATTTAATTTAATTTAATTTAATTTAATTTAATTTAATTTAATTTAATGTGCAAATTTGTGAAGGATATTGTTTAACCCATTAGCTGCAACGATAACCAATTGAGGATTTTGGAATTTTACGTACACCACTCGGTTTTATGTGTACTGTATGGAAAAATGGCATAAAACAATAGCTATTTTGTATGTATAAAAAAATAATAATAATAATAATAGAAGAAATAAGTCTATAGTCTCTTATTGGTTTTTTTCATGCAACCAACCATAATCTCCATTTAAGATATTTAAAAAAAAAAAATATAAATATTTCTGAAACCAAAAATAATTTGGCAGTTAATGGGTTAATGTTTAACAAGAAAAGAAAAGACAAAAAAAAAAAAAGAAAAGAAATAAAAACCGACACCATTTCGAATGTTTGTATAAATTAATTAGAACCCAGCCTTTTTTTTTTTTTTTTTAGAATATATTTGAAAAAACAACCGAGAGGATGGAAATCTGGATGGGCGGCCCACGGTAAGTTTATTGCTTTATCAAGCATTATATTATTCAATGAGCAAAATATATAGCAGAAACCCAAGAGTTCAATATTTCCAGATTTCTGATCAATTTATTTAAAATGCTTAAATAGGGTGTACATGTACAAAGGGGGGGGTTTGGGGGGGAAAAATATGGACAAAAGACAAAGTTGTTTGTTGCCTTACCTAGTTAGTGTAGGTATTAATAATATCCTGAAGAAGATGGACTTGCTTGCATCATCGGTGCTCGTTCATTGTTGAACGGGTTTTTTTTCGTTTTTTTTCTTTCTTTCTTTCTTTCTTTTTAACCCTTTCGCTACTACGAGCGACTATAGTCGCTCTACATAAGATGCCACAACACTGAGGGTACTTTACAGGCGACTATAGTCGCTCTTCAATAAATTCCGCGCTATTTTACGTATACAAAACGATGAAAACGAACGCGTATGCAGTTTATGGCACATCACCACCATCATCATCATCATCATCATCATCAAGTATTCCCAACTGTGTGGATGTCTGTCTCTGAAGACAAAAAAATCTCTCAATATCAGCTAAAGAGATGATCATCAATAATCCAAATATCATCAGTTTTTGTTGTTGTTTTTTCTTGCTACAGTACAACTGCGGAAAATATTCCTGTAGCAAAAGGGTTAAAATAAACCCGACAAAAATTCAATATCAAAAAATAATTATTTCTTCTTTTTTCTTCTTTTTTTTTTTTGTTTTTTTTTTTTTTTTTTTTACACTAATATTTAATCTAATTATTATAATTTGACTTGTTTATGTTTTCTGTTTTGTTTTGTTTGTTCATTATTAGGGATAGAGCTTCAACTTTTGTTTGTTCATTCGTCAAAATTGTTTTACTCGATTTTTTGTTTTACTAAAGACCGTTTTAATGGAATCAATCTATATTTTTTTTTTTTTTTAAATTATTTCTATTCATATCAATTAATTCACATTTAATTTTATTCCACGATATTAAACACTTATCTGTATATTAAATTTTATCTATATATGTATGTATGTATGTATGTATGTATGTATATAAAAAATGTGTGTGTTGTGTTGTGTTGTGTATAAATATATATAAATATAAATATATATATATATATATATATATATATATATATATATATACATGTTTTAATTAATATTTTTTAACGAAGATTACCTGTAAAATCCTCATAACATACGAATTAAATTGAAGTCGAGAAGAGATTTCTTCTTCTCCTAGACACGATGATTATATGTAGAGAAAGCACAACAGAGAGAGAGATCCATTTTCATCCATTATCACAGAGAGAAGAAGTGGAACTAAACTGATTTTTCTTAAAACTTCTATCAGACTCTAATAGTAATATTTTAGGAAAGAGTATCTTAAGATGTTGATATTAAAAAATACAAGTTTTATAAAAATGCCTGTAAAAAACGATGAATTAATATTTAATGTATAAATGTAATAATGAGGGAAAAGAAAAAAGAAAAAAGATAGAGTAATGAAACAAAATAATAAAAGAAAATAAATTGACCATAGAAGAAGAAGAATAAGAAGAAGAATAAGAAGAAGAAAAAGAAGAAGAATAAGAAAAAGAAAAAGAAGTATAAGAAAAAAAAAATAATGTTGATAGGAAGGAATGATGTTGATGTATCTAAACATTGATAATTTTATCATTATATAAAGTATTATGAAAATTATTTTCTGCTTGTATTTTTCCTGGAGGCACCCATCTGAAAACTCAATATTAAAGAGTTAGTAATAATTCTTAATAATATGTAACTATGTCGATGTTCAAAGGTAAATGTGTAAGCTGTTAGATTTATTTAAATACATTCTATATGGGAGAGAGTAAAATCACAAATAGAAAAATAATAACTTTATAATTCATTGTTTATATGATATATCTTTTATGTTTTCAATTTATAAATATTTAGTTTTAAATATATGATTCAAATTCTATTCACACAATATAAGCATATAAATTGAAACATCTTTTAATGTGTGTAAAAACAATTATTATAAAATAAGAATAAAAGTATAATATTTCTATTGCATATAGAAAAATTTTGGTAAAATAAACAAATTTCTAATTAATTTTAACAAAATCTATAACAAATTGATATAACGTTATTCTAAAGTTAAAAAGGTAAAACAAAAGTATTATATGCAAAAGAGAAAACATATAGATAAAAAGATAACAAATTAAAAATTACTATTCATAAAAAGATAAAATAAATGTTATATTTTAAATGAGAATAAAAAAAAAATCTCATGAAAATGAAAAGACAAATAAAGAACCTTAGAACATCGACAAATAGTTTGTTTATGACTAGTTAATATTATTTTAACCAAAAAAAATATTTCTATTATATTATAAATACTATAATAATATATTATTAAATTTAGTATATGAGATACCGATATATACTTACGTTTAGGTTTAGCTGGTATCAATTTAATGCCCCCCTTCTTCTCTTCGTTTGGTGGTGTAGTTGGAGAATCCAATGATAATTTAGCTCTTTTATCTGAAGGTCCAAGTACCTCTCTTAGCGGAGAAGGTCTCTTCAAAACAGACAATTTTGGAAGTGGCATCATCTTCTTATCGGCAACAGGGCTTGATTTTTTCGCTGATCTGGGTGGTGGAGGTTTAACTTCTTCTTCAAGACCAGTAGATCTAAACTTAGAGTTAAACGTTTTGACTGTCTTTGGTCTTGCCGTTGAATCTTGTGCATTTTTTCTGCTCTCGATGGAAATGGAAATATTCTTTTTTTCTGACATGATAACAGACTTTTTCCCTTCCATTTTATCTTTATTTTCTTTAGAACTATCTCGTGAATCGGTGATTAACTTTTTGCCACCTTCGGCCGTTTTATTGTCTTCCGATTTTTTCTTAGGTATTTTTCCTAACTTCGAACTTAAGACTTGACCTTGTACTTTCTCTAATGTAGCTTTATCTTTCTCTGCTTGATCCTTTTTTTGTTTTTCTTTTTCCCTTTCCTTGTCTTTGTCAGTTTTATTTTTATTATTAGAATTATGCTTACTGGATGAATTGGAGTGATGCTTTTCTCTATCCCTGGAAGACTTATCCTTAGAAGTGGGACTTTTTGATGTACTGCTCGATGAAGAACGATGACTACTAGATCGATGAGACGTAGAACTACTACGATGCGAGCTAGAGCTTGCGTTGTGTTTGGATGAAGAACTTTTAGATGACGATGATGAACTACTATGATGATGATTACCACTTTTTTTATCTGAACCACTACTACCTAATTTTTTATCATCCTTTTTGTGAGAATCTCGATTCTCTTTGTCACTAGATTTATTGCTGTCACTTGAAACATTATCTTTAGAATCTTTATTTTCTATTACTTTAGCATTACTAATTACTGTTTCAATACTATCCTTAGAACTAATTGTAGATTGTTTCACTTCACTAGAAATATGATCAGATTGTTGTTCTGATTGCACTTCTGTCGTATCGTCTTGTTCACTGTGTACCCCTCCCTCACTACTTTCAAGATTATCCCTTTTCCCTTGTTCTTCTTTCAAAGTAAACACTGTGTCTTTGACTTCTCCATTAACGTCTAAGCTTGCGTTATTTGACGTTAAAACACTGTTTATGTTAGCAGCATCAGTCTCTACTTTAGTAAGAACTTGTTTCCCATCCCTTATTGTTATTTTATATAAAGGTACAGACGATTGGGAAGACACTACAACAAAAGATTGTTTTTTCGTTGTAAATTGGTTAGATTGTTGTTGCAGTTGTGCTTGTTGTGGTTTAGTTACAACTTGCAATTGCACAGAATGTTGTTGCTGTTCTTCAACTTGCCGTTGATGTGGAGTCGCTGTAATAATGGACTGCTGATTTTGAACAAATTGCAAGTCTTCTACGTGTACAGTAACATTTTTCACATCGTCTGTGCCTTTTTGCGTAACACTACTGATAGAATACTGTTGTTGTTGTTGTTGCGACTGTTGTTGTTGTGGCTGTTGTTGCTGTTGTTGTTGTGATTGTTGTTGAGCTGATTGAATTATTATACCTTGTGCACCAGTAGTACTATTACCCTGCATCGGCGTCATCATAATCTGCGCCGGTACAGAGTTTGGTGCAACTTCGCCTTTTACTATTTTCAGCCATTGTTCAACAAGACGACTAGCTGATACTCTAACACCTTGATGACTTCCTTCTTTTGATAAACCTTTAATAAGCTTAGGGCAATTATTACTTTTTAACCTATCTACATCCACTGGACATAATAATAAAAGTTCCAAAAGTTCTTGAATTAATGCCCAGTTTTTAGCAAGAATACCATCAGTCAGCCACATATGAATAAGATTCCATCCACCGGCAGCCATGAATCTACAAGATAAATATATTCATTAGATAGATAATATCTGTATAAATGTTTGTTATTAAATATGAATAATATCAAAAATAAAACTATAATAAGTATATCAATGTAAAACTCATATCAGTAAGTACAGTTCATTTAACACAACTGTTCAATGGTTTTGGGTTTTATTTACTTTTGCATGTTATTATACTTAACACAAATACAATAAAGTAAGTACGTGTGTGTCTCAACATGCTATATATGTATAATTATTGTAAATTAGCAAACAATTGGATAAACAAATCAATCAATCAATCAAAGAAATAAATGTTTGGAAAATGTTATTTCTATATAAACGTAAAGCAGAATTTCGACTATTCAATGTAATCGAAGATGGAAGGAGACACATTACTGTTTAATTAAACAAATTTTATCTTTAATTAAAGAATCTTCATAACTTTAGTGTTACCAGTCACACCATTCTGGTATTTTGCATGCAGTACAGAAACAACTTCATCCGACATTATGTGACGATTATAAAATTGATTTGTATAAATACAACACGTTTGATTTGTTTATAATCTTAAGATTGAAGAAGTTCATCTATGAATTGATTCAATGTTATGATTCTAATTTAGAATTGATATAACGATGGAATTATTGGATAGAAGAGGTTTTATTGTATTCTATTCTAATGTACTTTAATAATTTAATGGATTAAAAAATAATAACAATAAATGAAATATTCTTTACTTACTGACTAAGTAGGTCGGTGTTAGTGGTTTTTAAAATTTGAATATAAATGCATTTGGAGACCAATTTCTTCGAAAATTTCGTCATTAAATTAGCTAATCGATTAACTTCTTCTTTACTTTTTATACCTCCTGTTGGACCCAGTAAAACACTGAGACATTTGAGTAGCGACAATGGATCTATGCGTGGCTGTAAATCAAATAAACATATCTATTATTAATATTATTTTCTTTTTTAAAGAAATGAAAAACGATGATTTAACTTATTTGTCTAACTAAGCCTAATAATTTAAATATGTAATCAAATCCAATGAACAAGATATTATATCATAATTATCTACATTGCAATTTCAATTATTTTCTCTTTCTCACAAACAACATATTTATCACAAATATAATTATTTAACAAATAAAATACATGTTAGACTTACATCAGTAAGTATGGCCTATCAATCACGACCATTCAATGGTTCTAAGTCTATTATATTTATTCTTGCATGATTTTTTTTCTCACATCATACACAAATTGTATGCATGTGTGTTGTCTTACATGCTATCGTAAAATATGAAAAAATATATCATACATATATATATACACGCATACGTTAATTAATAATTGTAAATTAATTTGGAAAAAAAAAACAAACATACAATAATAAAAAAAAAAAAATAGTAATCATCAGTAATAACGAATATAGTACATGTATATCAATTATAAATTAAACAATAGAACAAAAAAGTATAATAATTTAATTGAAGTTAGAATAAGAAACAATTAATATACATAATCGCAACAACATCAATGATACGAAGGTTATTGATCTAATATTCATTTTACCCCTACTTCTTTTCTAATACAAATGTAAAAAAAAAAAAAACTTTTATACGTTCCAATGCGCGGACGCAGATGCGCGTGGTGTATATATATATAATATGTCGTATAAGGAAAATCTTGTCCGCCATTTTGAATAAGCATATACTATTTGATATAAATTTTATATGTATAAATTGACTCACCATTTTGTAGTTACCCTCAATGGATTAATGTATTGTAAAAAGTAGGCATAAAATCATGTTGTATATCTGTAACGAAAGAAAAAAAAGACGATTGGAATTTACATAGGTGAATCATTCAATCGGACACGTTCGTTCTCACCGCCATTTTGTTGACAGCGATAGACGAACAGGACCGAGCAAATTACAAAACTACGAATACGTATAACTGAAGTACGATTATTATCTTAATTAATAATGATCTATCGAATAATTCATCGACGTTTATTAATCGCTACCTCAATATATGAAAAAAATCCATCGGCGTATTAGTAAAATCTTCCTGGAATAAGTCTTATACTGATCGACCATATGGATTACTTTCTATCACGAAATAAAGTATAGAAATAATATTGTATTGCCTAATAAATTTAGCTTTTATATAATATTATATAATAAATAATCATTCTTTAATAAAATAAACAATCTAAATATATATATATATATGTATGTATATATATGAAAAATCGTCAACTGCGGACTTCAAATAAGATGTTAGTACGTGTAACGGTTCTCAGCAAACGTGGCCCACTCAGTTTCCAACTGGCAAGACGCTTGTTGCGTCGCATTCTACGCATCCCCACCCTCGGTAAATATAATGCCAACCAATCAGAGCTTCGATATTAAAACACTACGTTGACCAGTGATCGATGCGACCCCACCTTGTTGCTGCGTCACTCTATTTCTATTTATATCACCTCGAAATTGTTCGTCGATAGATAAATTTCAATTTAATTTCCGAATAAACACTTTCTAACACTTGTATCATTTTTTTTCCCTTTTTGATTATAAATTATATACGAATGTAATTGCACTATTCATTTCCGAATATAATACGACATATTCTAGATATCTTTTGTGTTACGTCACTTATTAATATACAGCAACACCTCTTATATAGAAATATATATTTCTAGTAATTTTTATTTATTTCGATTTTCTTTCTTTTTCCTTTTCTATTTAAAAACACAATGAAGAAGATATGAATGTTTAAAATCTAACAAGATTTTGTTAACTTCCGTAATTGATCGCTTCCTTCTTTATTGTCGAGAGATATAAGTGTAAGAAAGAAAAAAAATGGATGCCCCGCCCTTTTTGTTATAGAATTGCAAAATGAAACAAAAAGATTATATATCTCAATATGTTAACAATTCTGGACAATAAGTAGAAGCCACTCACATTTTTTGATTTAAAATAATATCCTTATTATGGAAAACATATTTTCTGTAATGCATAAGAAACTCTTAAAATTTCTTATACACGACTATAATGAGACGTGAGAACCTACGAAACTTAGGTTTCTCACTTTCTCTTTAATATCGACTTCACATTGAGTCAACGGTTATCGAAGCTCCCGTGAATCCGAGTGTATCTTCTCGATGATCAGCCATCTGCAATGAAACAGTACTTAGAATATAATTTAATTACCTTTAAAACGATTTTTCTGCGATATCTTGTTGAAAAATTACGAGAATTACTAAGAAACTTTAACAGAACTACTCTCACCTATGGAGCGTAGCAACCTCTATGGTACTGAAAACGGAAGTATCCACATTGCATAAAGTGAATCAAATGAGACACTATTTTTTATTTCTATTCTATTCAGTCAATTGTCCTAAAGACGATTTTAAAAATAAACTAATAATAATTTCTCTTTCAAGATGAATTTTAATTATTTCTATCATTACAATTAATAAATATCTTTCTTAAGTTTTATTTTAACAAGTTTGCTTTGCTAACAATTGATCCGTGCAATACAATGCTAATCAATATTACAATATTCTATTGAAATAATCCTAGTGAAATAATATAATATTAATAAAATATAATATATTTTATTTTTGTTAAAGATATTTGTTAAATTATTATTATGAATTTTATTAAATATATTATATAGTAGGAAGAAAATATATTCCTCGCTTGACTCATGTATTTATATATATATATATATATATATACATATAGAACATGGAATCATACAATGGTTCGCAAATTGAATATCATGTTATTTTTATTTTTATACTTTGTTAATTTTTTTATAAGATAAAATTATCAATATTTAATTAAACAAATATACAAAACATAAATAACATATGCTGATTTTCTATATAATGATATAATTTTAATTACAATAAAAATGACATTATTTGAAAACACCGAAAGGTTGTGAATCACTTTTTCGAGAAGACCTAAAAAGAAAAAGATACATTTGTTAAAAAGAAAATTTAAAATATCGATTAAATTATAACAAAGATTATATGAAATATAATAAATACCATATAAATTTTAATAATAATCTATAATTAATTTATTTGCAAAAAATAGGAGAATATAAAGTTACTAATTAATTTATAAAGGAAACATTTTGTTTTATTTCAAAGCTTATATTCATGAAAGTAAGACCAATATAACTAGACTTTTAGGGAATATTTCTAGTGACAAAAGTACACAATACTATAAATATTTTATTTCTTTATTGTGGTATCATTGAAAACCGTTTGAAAGAGAAGATTATACGTTGTAGAAAGCGGCACTTCGCTTATTAAGTTTAGTGTTTTTGAACTATACATCTTATAATAAAAGTGTTAATTATAAAGTAATCCTGTCACAATATTGTGAAATAAAACGTATTTTAGTGACCAGAAACATGTTTCGGTCGAAAAAAGACGTTGACCGACACGTTCAAGATATTTTTCGTAAAGTAAAAAACGAAAATGAGGTATGGCTTGTTTTTTCTTGCTTGCTTCAGAAAGAAATTGAGAGACCATGATGTATATGATAGAAATGATCGTTTTGTCACATTTCAGGCACGCGGTTTTTAACGTTTTTAATTGATTTACTTTTGTAATTAAAGATTATTATTCATTTTTAAACCATATTAACTGGTTTTTAATATACAATAAATTTAATCAGGATTATTTCTCTTTTGTTAATATACTTAATTACAGCGTATTGATCTTTTAACCATGATATAGTAACATGTGTATGTAATATCTTGTCTTCATAACCTGTCAAACTATAAGAAGTATCTTTAAACGCTATTACATACAAATAAAATCATTTTTAAATATATCATATCTTTATTTTATTTTTTTATTTTTATTTTTTTATTTTTTTTTTCTATTAATTTATTTATTGATTTGTTTCATTTCCCTTACGAATTATTCTCAAATGATATTTGTTTTTCCCCCCCTAGAAATTGATCATTTCAAGGTCATCTTTTTTATAAGATTTTAATATAATAGATGTTTATTTTATTTAATGAAACTATCTGCTCTATTTTGTATAGATATTTTTCTAAATAATATCAAGGATTCTGAGATATTATGTGTATAATAATGTAATCATGTTTTTATCTAAATATTATTTCAATTGTTTATTCTATCCAATTAATTAACAGTAATTGTAATGCAAGATATTTATATATTTTACATTTGATATTTTAAATTAGATCTTTGAAATATATTAATGACTATAATCGTAATTATGATACTATTTTATTTATGTAATATATTTTGTATTATTTTCAGAAAACATACCGTTACTATAGTATAGCTAAATTATATTATCAAGTGGGAGATTATGAATCTGCCAAAAGATATATATCTTCTTATTTGGAAATGCGAGAAGAATCATCAGGCGCACATATGTTATTTGGTCAAATTCTTGAAGCATTGGGAGACAAAGAAGCAGCAATTAATCAATACAAAATATCTCTTGGATTAGATGGAAGTCAAGATAATTTAGTCTTAAAAGGTATATGTACACAGTTAAACTTATTTACTTAAAAGGTAATATACAATGCTAACCAAATAAGTATAATTAATATATTATTATTATTATGTATTAGTTTGTGAATTGTTAGCTGATATGGATACTGGTACGGATGTTAATCATATCAGATATTGGGTAAAGAGAGCAGAGAAATCATTTCCACATGACCCAGTAATATTCAAATTAAAAGAAAAAATGTTAACAGCAGAAAAACCTGATCATGACAGTGAGGAGCTCGAAGCTTTAATTACATGTAAGTCTTTTTAATTATTATTATTATTATAATAAAATTCTATTGAAATTAATATAATAACTATAGGGTGTAATGTTTTCATACTATTCTTTATAATGAATTTCTTTTAGCCGAATTAACCATCAAGCCAACAAACGTGGAACTGCGTGTTAAATTAATTAAATATTATATGACAAAACATAGAACGGAAGATGCTTATAATCATGCTGCTAAGGTGGAAGCAACGTATTGTCATAGAAACAGCATTTTATGGTATCATTCGCTTGTCGAGTTGTTGGGAAAATTCAAAGATAACAAAATAGATGATTGGTCATTTTGGGTCTTTTATATATCCACATTAGAAAGATATGCAGCACTTTCTTTGAAAGAGAACAACGCCAATCAAATAACTAAAACAATACCCGAAGCAATGCAAGCAGTATTTAAGTATGTTGTTATAAAAATGAATTACAATTTATTTAAAATAATATTCGTCAAATTGTATAACTTCTTTTCAAATATTTATATATGTATTTTGCTTTTCAGTTTTGATCAAGCTTTACATGAATTTAAATCACGAAATATATCTAATTATTCAATGTACACGGAAGAAATGTTAACACATATGTGGGGTCAATTACATTATCATTTAGCCTGTTTGTTATTACGCAAAACTAAACGCGAACAAGGCAACTGGGAAGAAACAAATCGACTTTGTTCAAGTTTATTTTTAATTGCATTACATATACATCCTATGGATACGACTGCTTCATGGACTGTCCATGGAAAAGAACAATTTAAAAATTTAATTCCAGTATGGAGTAGAGAAGGATCATACAGATGCAGTCAGGCTGGTATGTTTATGTATAAATTATTTATTAACGATTTCAAAATATGTCAGTTATTTTTTAAACATTTCATTTTATTTAGGTAATGTTCTCCAAGATTGTGCACAAAATAATGTCAAGAAGCTGATGAATAAAATTGATACATTTTTTTACACAGAATCATGGAAAGAACGAATTTTTCAGGTAGGTATTACGAATATTTCATTTAGAATATAATAATTTATGTCATTAATTTGTTTCTTATTTACATATGTTTAATATGTATATATATATATATAAATACATACATTTTCAGAGAATTTTTGTATCCAAACTATATCAAAATCGCATAAGAACTTCACATTTTTGCAATCATAAAGTTTGTAATCCACCCCTTCAATTATGCTTACCAAATGAATTAAAACGCTATAATGAAGGTACATTTGATTATTTCTTTCTTCGAATGAAATATATTATTACTTTTTAATTTCAAATTATTTCAATGAAGTTTTATTTCAGATTCTGAAGCAGTATGGCCAGATTCATTACATCATCATGTTTGGCTCGGTATTAGAAATCGACTTCAAACTATTTTGAAGAATGATCAGACATATCCTCAGCAGTATTCTCATGTATTCTCAGACTTACAATTTTCTGTTAATAATTTAAATCAACCTACTCCTGATACATTATGTAAATTAGACATTGATGCATTTTTAAATGCTGCAGGTTAGTCATTGAAATAAACATATTAACATTATTCTTTATTATTTATAGTTTCTATTGTTAATGATAATATAATTAGAAGAAGAAATATTTATATCAAATATTTGTAGTTTTATGTGCTACTGTAATGGTTGAAGATCAGCAAAAAAGAGGTTTCATAACTCGAGAAAGACTTTCGACTCTACCAGCAGATTTAACTAGTCCCCTTTGTACATCTTCTCAAGAGAAATGGTATTAATAATTTTCTTTCTTTGTATTTATTAACAAATATTTTTGTTCTATTTAAATAAAAGATTTCTCTTTCGTAGGTGGTCATATGCATATAAAATGTATTCCAGAAAAGAGACATTAGAAGGAGATTTAGGAGAAATTAGACAAGTATTACGACAAGGTTTAGAAACACTTCGTTGTATCGGTAATCATGGTCTGCATCCAGTAATTCTAGTGCATTTAGCACGATTATTTCATCATAGGGTAAATACTTATTATATTTCATATTAAATTTCTATTAAAAATATTTCAAAATATAAGTTTTATAATATAATATATGTATATAATATATAAATATATATGCTCTATGTTAATTTAGGTTAAAATATTAAAAGAAAAAGATCAAGAACATCCTGACATTACTGCTTTAGAGATTCGAAGTGAACTTTATTGGTCAGCTGTTATACCTCTTCTTGAAAGATTGCAAAATAATCAAACTTTACGTGTAACAAATACGAAATTATTTAATTATGAAGGGTAAGGTGTCGTCTATCTAATGATAACATTGTTTATTCATTTTAAACATAAAGTCTAACGAAATTTTATTTATATAACTATGTTTAACTGTGTTTATATTAATAGAACGAACATGACTAACGTAGAAGTAACTAATGCTTTGGAAGAAGGTAGATTACTTTTGGCCCAACGTTTGGTCCGTAATAAACAATACGAAGAGGCTATTGATGCATTGCAAATATTGAAATGCCCAGAAGCTACATTTCAGCAAGGACAAGTAAGATTTTTATTTTTTATTTTTTTAAACTCTTTTCTTCTTATTAATTTATTTCAAACAAAAATGTAATTTTATTTTTTTTTTAAATAGATTTATAAAATTCTTGCTGATGAGATAGTTGGTTCTAAACCTAGAGAAAGCTTAACATCAGAAATGAGATCACAACATATTATAATGCTTACCAAAGCTAGAAATTGTTATTATCTTACTTTAGATCGATTACGTAGTCCAGGAATGAGTTTGAAACATCCATTAGATTCTGAGCTGTGCTTACATATTTCAGCTATAGAAAATGAATTAAAAAGGATCGATCCAGATATATCACGAGGAGATTGTGAGTTTGAAATAAGATTTTATATTTATATTATTTATATTTAAATCAAATATTTTATTTCAATTATATTGCAGTAAGTAGAAATGAGTGTGATGTTTTATCGGATGAAAGTTATTCACCTGAGCATAGTGGCATTGATCAACCTATAACGACTGTACCTATATCCACGTTAACTGGATTAGGTACTCCTGTGAATTTATTCAGTACACCACAAAAGAATACCCATCGTACACCAAAACAATCAAGTACACCTTGTAGAGCACAAAATCAAGATATTCTCGACTTATCAAGAAATCGCACAGTAATTTCATAAGTTATATATATATATATATATTTAATTATTTATGGAAAAAATGAAGTAATTTTTAAAACAATTTATATTTTTAGGAAGCACGTCCAAGTCCTGAACGACTTGATGCACAAATACGTCAAATGATACATGCTAAAGATACTGTTATGCAAACAATCATAGAACAAAACAAAACTATATTAGAAAAGATAGAGGAATTAACAAAAGAAATGGCAGAGTTAAGAAAAGATTCTCAAAAACAGCAACAACAACAACCACAACAACCTCAACAACCACAACAACCACAACAACCACAACAACTACAACAACTACAACTATTACAACAACAACAACCACCACCACCACCACCACCATCACGTATTCAACCAACGAACTTTAACTCTAATATAGAAGATGATTTATACGTTCTTGGCGAAGAAGATTACGGTGATATAAATTATACCACTAATCAGTCAGCTCAAGCAGCATCTACTATTTCTGGAAACATTTTTCCACCATCTCATAGACATCCTTATTCACCATTATTATACCCACCAGCAACAGCTTTCCAAGGTTATTATCAAGGAACAATACCATTTACTGATCCAAATGCACAAGCAATTCCAACGCTATATCCTCCGAGTGTTTATCCAATGCCTGTATTATATCCTAATCGACCTAAAGTACCAGATATGTTGCAACAAGGTCTTTTTGCTGCATCAAGATTGGCAACTCAATTGAATGATCTAGTAACACCTCAAACCAATGTACCGTTGCAAATGCCAATGCAGAAAGTAGAAGTGACAAAGCCTCAATCTATAGTAAAAGATACTTCTAGTAAGAAAGTTCCACCTGTTAATGTTGTAATAACTACTTCAGATACACTACCAACTACGGTACCATTAGTGCAACCTACTCTGAGTGTTACTATCCCAGCTCAATATAGAATGGGAAATACTTCAGCTGTTACAACTACTGTAGAAACACAAAATGTTCCACATTGTTATCAAATTACTATGCCATCTCAAGCAACTATTCCAACAACTGTTAATTTACCACCCCTGTCTACAACACTTACATCAACGCCAGCAAATATTTCTTTATCAGAAACATTTAAAATCAATAATATTGACATACGTTCAAGTGGTTCACCGAATAGTTCTGCTGAATTGATGAACGAATCAGAACATGATCCAATACCAGATTTTGTTCCTGTCATACCATTACCTGCTGAAGTTAAAGTTAAAACGGGCGAAGAAGACGAAACTACGTTATATTGTGCACGTGCGAAACTTTTCCGTTTTGTCGATAAGGAATGGAAAGAACGTGGCATTGGAAATGTTAAATTATTAAGAAATGCAGAAGGTAAAGTTCGTTTATTGATGCGCAGAGATCAAGTTTTAAAAATCTGTGCAAATCATATGTTAAGACCAGACATGGAGTTAACTAGTATGCCAAATACTAATAAAGCTTGGATTTGGGTTGCAAATGATTTTGCAGACGAAGAAGTTAAAGTTGAAAGACTTTGTATCAGATTCAAAACTGAAGAAGAAGCTCTCTCGTTCAAACAACATTTTGATGATGCTAGAGCTAGCTTATCATCTATAAATGAAAAAGTAATTAATGAAAATGATAACAAATCTATAACGACGACTGTTAAAGTTTCAGAAGAGGAAAATAATTCATCATCTTCAACAGTCACGAATAATGTGCCATTAGATAAAGAAAAACCTGCTGCAACAACAGCAGCTATGGTGGGTGGTTTCTCTTTCACTTCAAAGCCGATTATTCAAACGGTTTCTACTGAAATAGAAAACGCATTGCAAAAACAAAATGAAATGCAACATAAAGTAAGCCCATTCGTAGGTTTTTCATTCAATAAACCCGACTTTACTAAAACACCAGAGATTGCAGTCAGCTCTGCAGCATCAAAAAATGTGTCTACACCTGTGACAACGCAAGCAACTATTTTTTCTTTCTTAAAAACAAACCCAATCTCTTCTCCATATTCTGAACCAACAACAACTTCTGTTTCTATTGGTGTACGCGATGTAACTACAGTCACTACGTCTCAAACAGCAGCAATTGTTTCTACAACTTCGGCATCTCGTGTCTCATTAAGAAGACCGCATGCACCTGTAATTGCACCTGCAATATTAAACATCACAACTACGGCAAGCGGTGTCACTCAAAAATCTGTTTATTTATCTGGTCAAGGAGAAGCTGAAACAAAAGTTTTATTTGAACAAAAAGCAAATCTTCAACGAAAATCCAAAGATAATAAAAATTGGGAGAATAAAGTTGCTGGACAGATGAAAATTATATTGAATGTAAAAACAGGAAATTTGAATTTATTAATGCATAGAGAAGAGGATTCCCAAGTTATATATAATCAACAGATATTACCAGAGATGAAATTTAATATTAAATCCGTTAACCAAAATTTAGTTTGTTGGACAGTTTTTGATGCTACAGGAGAAAATAAATTGGAATCATATTCTTTATTGTTTAAAAGTCCGGAGCATGCATCACAATTCTATGATACTGTTATAAACGATCAGCAGAAGAAGAAAACATCTGAAATTTCCAATGGAAGTAACAATGTAAATGCAGAAAATAAACAAGTACCTTTAGCAGAACTATTTAAACCTTCTCCAGGATCTTGGGAATGTAATGCGTGTTATACTAGAAATGATGGTAAACAATCAAACTGTTTAGCATGCGGAGAATTGTCTCCAGTTGCAACTTCTAATGAACCTCCTACTGGAACAGTCGAGTCCGTAGCACATACTCAACAAGTACCACTTTCTCAGTTATTCAAAAAACCTTCTGGTTCATGGGAATGTAAAGCATGTTATATTACAAATTTGGAAGCAAATAATTATTGTGTTGCTTGTGATAGTCCTAAAGATCCATCAATGCCACCTAAACCAAAAACAAGTGGTTTCAATGTAGGATCAATATCTTCTGAATCCATACCAACATTCACTTTTGGTATTCCTCAAGAATCTGCTAAAGATACAAGTGGAGGATTTACATTCCGATTGAACAAATCGGATAAAGACGAATCTGCAAATAAAGTACAACCTAATACAGGTATAAAATCTAGTACAGACATAAAAAGCATATTTGGAGGAACGGCACAACCACCAAGTACTCAACCTTCTCAAAGTACAACACAATTTGTATTTGGTTCTCCTGGGAAGTCTTTTGGATTCAATTTTACAGCAAAATCACCAGCAAAATCACCTGGTGGAGGAGAAACAAGCGACGAAGAGGTCGTTGAAAGCGATGACATATATTTTTCACCGATAATTCCAATGCCAGATGAGATAGAAGTTAAAACTGGGGAAGAAGACGAAGAAATACTTTATAGTCATAGAGCTAAATTATTCAGGTATGATTCTGCAGTTAAAGAATGGAAAGAACGTGGATTGGGTGATATTAAATTATTAAGACATCATCAAACTAAAAAATTGAGATTGATAATGAGACGAGATCAAGTATTGAAGTTATGTTTAAATCATTTTATTTTGCCTGAAGTAGAATTTAAACCAAAAGATGAAAAAACTTGGCTGTGGAATGCCGCGGATTACAGCGAAGGAGAAATTGAGTATATGCAATTTGCGTGTCGTTTTAAAAATTCTGAAATTGCAGCTGATTTTAAAAAAGCTATTGACAATGCCAGAGAATCGGATAATTCATCGTTAAATAATGAAATTATTCAAGATGAGCAAGTACAACAACAGAAAGCAAAGCCTTCTCAGGATATTCAAGTTGTATATGAATTTAAAGTTACACCCGAAGAAAAAGCTGCTGCTTTAAAATTACAATTGCCGGAGAATTTTTATGCTTATAAACAAAAAGAGGATTGTCCAGGATGTGCAGGATGTAAAGATTTAACGCCCCCGATTGAAGATTCACAATCTCAAGGAGAATTAAAGACTACAGGAACTTCAAGTTCAACGATCTCAATTCCAAAGACGTATAGTATTCCTATGAATTCACACATTAATGAAATTAAAACTTCAGATAATGAAAATGAAAAAGATCAAACAAATGCGTCTCCTAGAATTTCATTTATGACAAAACCAGATAATACTGATTCAATAAGTAACACAGCTACGATTAAACAAAATACACCTATTACTACTACTGCTACTACTACTACTACTCATAATATGTTTGGTCCTGCTCCTCCATTATCATTTGGAGAGAACAAATCTCCTTTTTTCAGTGATAACAAATCAACTGGCTTTATATTTGGAGCACCAGCTTCTCAACCGACAATAAACGATAAATTGACAATAAGTGAATCAATTGGTCAGTCTAATAAATCTTCAGAGGACCCAAATAATACATTATCAAAATGGTTTGGTAATAGTAATGTCAAAATTTGTGAACCAGTTGGTACGAATCAACAATCTAACAATTTTCCTAGTTCTCATGGAAAAATATTTAACACACCACAATTTACTCTTCCTGCCAGTACAACTATAATGCCTACATTTGAAAATACTAAAAATCAAGTTTTTGAAAGTATATCAAAACCAGTGGACAACACAGGATTAACAAAATCATTTTTAAACACGACAGGAAGCAGTTCATCATTAACATTTACAAATACATTTAGTAATTTATCTGCAACAACTGGCACTACTACTTCAGCACCAATATTTGGCTCAACACCTAGTGCAATGACAAATTCATCTATTTTGAAGACATCAGTATTCGGTACAACACCATTTTCAATGAATATGACTTTCGGTTCAACTGATTCTGCACCAGCAGAAGACACATCCAAGAAAGAAGATGATGCTCCTGCTTTATTTACGAATACCAATTTAACATTTTCTGCATTAGCTCAGAAAACTCAAACAACGGAAGCTTTTAAACAAGGTATGAATTAATGTAGTTAATTATTTGCAAAATAAAAATATTACAATGCATTATATTATTTTCTTTTCCACAGATCCAACATTTTCTTTCGCTGGAACTGGTTCGTCCGTATTTGGTTCTAGAATAACATCAACAAAAATAGAACCAAAACAAAACCAATTAGATGAAAATAAAAAAGATGATAACGATGAAGATGAGGGTAATGAGAATGAAAACGATCAGGAATATGATCCATATTTTGAACCTCTTATTCCATTGCCGGATGCTATTGAAGTACGAACTGGCGAAGAAGATGAAATAAAAAGTAATTATTTCAATTTAAGTTTGCTTATTTTGTTAATCTTATTTATACCTATATGATATAATATTAAATTGATTGTAAATATGTTTACAGAGTTTTGTAATAGAGCCAAATTATATAGATACGATAATGCTACAAAAGAATGGAAAGAAAGAGGAGTCGGAGAAATGAAAATTTTATATCATGCCGAATATGGAACATATCGATTATTGTTACGTAGAGAACAAGTTCATAAACTTGTATGTAATTTTCTAATCACCCAGGATATAGAATTCCGTCCTCTTTCCACATCGAATAGAGCATGGATATGGGCAGGTATGAATCATGCAGAAGAACCTCCAACTGTCGAAGAACTTGCAGTTAAATTTAAGACAGACGAATTGGCTACAGAATTTAAGACCATCATTGACAATATACAACAAGTACTACGTGAAAGAGCAAATGAACAAGGTAGCTAATCTTATTTTTTTTTTTTTTGCTAATTAGTTATTGTCGATGTTCGTAATGAAAAAAACTTTACTGCATGACATTGAAATATTCGTTTATTTTCTTTTAGTCTTTTTGTATTATGTAGTATTCTCTCTTTAAAATTATATTTATATATGTATAACAATATTTAATTTTATAATTAGTGTGATACACCTTTTTTGTGAAATGTCAATTGTATAAAATTTGCTGTAAATGTAAGTGTATATAAAAAATGTAAAAATACATATAATGCTTCATTGAAATTAATGATTTAACGTATTGGAAATATTATATTTACAATAGTTTATTGTTTTTCTATAGACACAGCTTGCACAATTTTTTCGATTGTTTTTTTGTATAAAATACATTTTAAGATTTTCATATCATTTTGAAATTATTTAACATCTTTACAAAACAGATTCATAATGAAAATTTATTTTTTAATAGACAATAGAATATTTTTCCTATATTAATATATTTATTATTATGACGTAATTATTTCATTTTTATTTTAAATGTTGTAAAATAACAATTCGAAAACTATTACAAGTGAATTATGAAAATGCATTTTTACATTTAATATATAACTTTCATGTTAAAATTTATATAAAATATAATTTTTTTTTTTTGGAGATATTAAATGATATTATTTTGCGAACAAAGTGTTCTTCTTCAATTTATCGAAATATTATTTTAATTTAAGAAATTCCTTTGATCAATTCATCCATATTTAATGTTTGTAATTAATTTTGAATCCATTACAACTTTTCATATATAATTTCTCTTTTCAGTAAATAAATAAATATATTTTATATTAAATTAGCGATTGTAGTATAAGAATAAATAAATGTAACATTTTTTTGGTTAATTTTAAACCAATATTATTTGTATAGGTCAAAATAAATGGATATTATGACTATATAATATAATTCAGTACAATATTTAATGAAAGATTATTTGTAATTATATATAACCATTATGGTCAACGCTAGTTATTCATCACATTTATATTTTAAATATTTCCATTTATAACATATAAACAATCAGAAGGGCATGAATTTCATTTTTTGTTTGCTTTTCTTTTTCATTTATTTATTATCTTTTATAATTTTTCAAATATTATGCTTTATATTTTATCATTGTTTTAAAATAAGGTTTTTCATTTGTAATATACATACTGTATTGATGTAATAATAATAATAATAATAATAATGATATCAACAACAATTAAGTGAAAATGTTAATTTGTGAAAGTCTGGGATAATAGATCAGTGGTTTATGATTAAATAATTTCTAAAAAGTATACACATTAAATAATCAAAAATGATTAATAACGTTAATGCTGCCAATACCGAATATAATGTGGCAGCACACTATTTATTTATTTTATTATATTATGTAAGTTTTCAAATGTTATTTATTCAATTTGAAATCATTTTACATCAATTTGAATTTTATAATTAAATATTATAATAGATTATGGTTTTTGTTTTTATATGCATTTATATTTGTTATATAGATGTCCAGTATAACAGTGATGAAATTGTGCAAGAAGATGAAGAGGAATGTGTCGAAGAGTTTGATGATAAAATTGATGATCAAGAGGATGTCGATGATGACGATGAAGGATCATTATTATTTGAAAAAAGAGCGACATTATATACGACATCAAATTATACAGTAGGAATATTTGAACCTGCATGGGTACAAATAGCTTTAGGAACATTAGCAGTATATTATGATTCAAATATTTTTGGTGAAAAAATAATATTAAAAGCCGACGAAACTGGAGAATGTTTAAGTAATACGATAATTACTATGACTACTGACATGGAGGTAATAATATATATATATAGATATATTTGATTTTTATTTAAAAAAATATAGTAAAGATAGAAATTTTGTTGTAATAATCTATTTAAAATATATATATTTTTTTTTTGTAATCATTTCAAGCTCGATGAAAAAACATGCATTTGGACTGCCATCGATCATGCTTTAGAGCCTCCAAAAAGTCGCACTTTGAAAGCAGTCTTTTCGTCAGTTCAAGCAGCTGAACAAATGCATAAAATTTACTTATATGTAAGTAATACTTCATAATAAGAAATTTTAATACACATTTTAAGTTACATTAATTAAATTAATTAAAAAGATATAAGTAATATATATATCATATTTTTTAATGAAATTATTTTCAGGGATTGGAATGTGCTAAACAAGCAGGTATTAGTGAGGAAATAGAAGAAAAATGATAAAATTTGTTGTAATAATTAATTTAAACGATCTCTCTTATAAACATAGAACGTATTGTGTCGAGGAAACTTTTTACTTTTTATGTTTTCCAAAAAATAGTCTATATACAAACAAAAATGGCATTGATGTAGATATTAATTGACTATCTTATTATTACATAATTTTCTATTTTAGTCCATGCATTTACCAAAATAGTATAAGCAACAAAACAAACAAACAAAAAAACATGTCTTCATAATTTTATTCTGTATTTGATATATATATATATATCTCTAAAAAAAAAACACAAATTAACTAGAGTAAATTAAATTTTACTCGATAAATAAAAAACAAAGTGTGTGTGCCAATAATCGGTTGTCCTGATGATTGCCTTATAACAAAATAGATTACAAGATTTCCTGTTGTTTATTAATAGTCATTAAAAATAATGATTTCTTTCATTATTTTCCATTAATAAATATTTCAAAGTCATTTACTAAAGAAATATAAATAGTAAAAATATGCGAGATATACAACTATTTTTTTGTTAACTGTAAATATAATACAATATCATAATACAACTTCTTGAGAATGATTAATAGTATAAATAGAAATATTATCCAAAATAGAAAATGATTATTAATAATAAGTTAACTTGCACCTTTTAACATAAAGTTATATATTTCTTTATAGAGTAACAATAAGTTTCTATATAATATAGAAATTTAAATAGAAATAATTTCAACTAAAATTATTTCTAATCGTTAGAAGTAATTTTATTTCATCGCATATTTATACAAGATAACATAAAATGAAGAAATATATATATATCTATATATATGATTTGTAATATCTATCCTATTAGTTCAAAGTTCATTTCATTAACTGTGCTCGTATAAATATTTACAACATGCGCATTTATCTTATCGATGTATGAATAATTATTTGAGTGTTTATAATGACAGAAGATATAATCAAAGTTCTAATTGTATAATTATATCTCGTAGAAATATTTAAACTACTGTCTACGGTTATAATCTTCCGTTCTGTGTCGTAATTTTACATTTTATTTCTTAAACATATAAAATTATAGGCATATATATTATACGTATGACCCTTAGATTTAGATATTTATATAGATGTTGTGTTGTTATTTATAATCAGTACAATATGTTCTATCTAAATATAAAACATTTTTTTCTTTCTCCATATTCTGTATATATGATATATGTATAAAATTATAAACATATTTATATAGGTGGATTTAGTATAGTACTTAGAATTGTATCCTAATATTGTTCCAAATACAACATGCTTACAATGATAGATATTTAAATATATTTTTATTATTTCTATTAATTTTTATATTTATTCATGATTTAATATTGCAACGATCGAGTACAAGAATTCTTTTAGTATATTTTACATTTGTATTATTAAATTGTGATTATGTTGAAAATAAAAACATGTAACAAAATAACAAACAAAGTTTTGTTTTATTAATATATATATATATATATATATATATATATATATATATACGTATATATGTTATATACACGTCTTATTACTTATAACTTGTTACTTTGGACTTTGAACAATTGCAAATGTATTATCAATCAGTTATATTAGTGCTATCATTACAGAACAAAACAAACTAAAAGAAATAGCCGGTAATTTATTTTCAATTAAAGTTGAATTTCTTCTATGAAATTTAACAAATAATAGAAATAAAATATAAAAGAAAAATGTAAAATTATTTCTTCTTATTATTTGTTAATTATATTTTTGTCTTATATGTATCAAGCAAAGAAAAATACCAAAAATATTATAAACAATTTAAAATAAGAAATAGAATTCACGTTTTGAATTGTTATTATTAAAATTAATTTCCAAATTCTTTAAAAAAAAAAAAAAAAAAAAAATAGTAATAAATTCCATTGAATTGGAGGTGAAAGAGAAAATGAATTAATGAATAATTACAATTGTATTGTACGACTGTTGATTGAATGATATTAAACAATACAATAAGAATGTGATATAATTTAAAAAAATGTTAATTAATGAGTTTATTTATATTATTGATTCTATTTAATATAAATAAAATGTATGTGTTTAAGACCAGGGTACCGAATTCGCTAGTGCCGTCATTCACATTTTTTCTGCTATCACCCCCACTACAACAATTCGTAATGATACAGCACAATGTACAAATAGTACTGAATGATGTGAGAGAAACCAGTAGGATTACTTTTCATTCATTAAATAGTATCGTTAATTAATTTTTATTTTTCATTATTAAGTGTTAAATTTTTTATTAATATTACAAAATGTCGATCGCTACGAAAGGTAAGAAGATCTGAAAAGATCTAAATCTGATAAATCAAAACAAAAAAGAAACATATATACACTTTGATCACTTCCTTTATTCTTTTGGTTTCCTTCATTTAATTTATATGTTTCTAAATAGAACATAATTTTTAATGTAAATAATTATTTTATTTACAAATGACCTATATTGATTTACAAAAAGTTATTCGAATTAGTATAAGTATATTCATTTATGCTATTTATTTTTATAATTTGTAACATATGTTATAAATATTTATATCTTGTAAATGAAAAACAAATAAAATGAAATAAGATGAAGTAGAAAAATAAGTTTACTGTTTATAAATAGCTGGACCATTGTGATAAATAAGATAGAAATAAATTTGATTATTTAATATTACAAATATAACGTGTTATCGTATAGTTACAGTGTTAAATTTTAAAAACCGGTTCAAACTAACTGTGGTATAGAATTCACGTCATCTCTTACATGACATTGTAGTTCTTATCATATCGCGAACCTAATGATAAAAATATTTAAATATTTAAAATTTTAAATTATTGTATTTCATAATTCTAAAATTTCACAAAAGTTAACGAAGATGTAGTAATTTTTGAATTTATGTCAATGATTAAAGTCTTTTTACTTTTCTTTTGTTTTCAGGTATCTTTATTGTTGCTGCAAAGCGTACTCCATTTGGAACAATGGGGGGAGTTTTTGCGAATAAAAGTGCTACTGAATTATCCGTTGTTGCAACTAATGCTGCGATGCAATCATCAGGAATAAAGCCTGAAAAAATTGATAGCGTTATTTTTGGACAAGTATTAACGGTACATATTTATTATAGTATACTCTCTCTCTCTCTCTATCTTTTGTTTATTATACAATTGATTATTAAATACAAATTATAGTTATCGTCCGCAGATGGTGCCTTTTTACCACGTCACGTTTTACTACAAAGTGGCATACCATTGGAAAGACCTGCATTAGGAATAAACAGATTATGTGGTAGTGGATTTCAATCTATTGTGAATGCAGCACAGGTTGTTTTTTTTACAATAAACTATGATTATCTTTATTATTGATGAATCATATTGTTGTTATATATAAAAATATCTAAACGTATAGAGTAATTTTTATTAATACTTTTCAGAATATTATATCAGGTGAATCAAGAATCGTTGTAGCTGGAGGTGCTGAGAATATGAGCCAAGTACCATTCGTTGTAAGAGGTATTCGATATGGAACAGTATTAGGTCAAAAACACGAGTTTGAGGATGCTCTTTGGGCTGGATTATTTGATAGCTATTGTAAATTACCTATGGGTGTAACTGCTGAAAAGCTTGGAGCAAAGTATAATTTAACCCGAGAAGAAGTCGATGAATTTGCTTTGAGGAGTCAACAATTATGGAAAGCCGGTAAGATTTTTATAATAATATTTTCTATAAATAAATAATTATTGATGTTATTTAAACAAAATATTATTCTAGCAAACGATGCTGGTTATTTCAAAGAAGAACTTGCCCCAGTTACAGTAAAAGTAAAGAAACAAGATGTAACAGTTTCTGTAGATGAACATCCAAGACCTAAAACGACAAAAGAATCTTTGGCAAAATTGAATCCAGTGTTTCAGAAGGATGGGCTTGTCACTGCCGGTTCAGCATCGGTAAAAGAAACTTTAATAGTTTAATTAATGTTTTATAAACGACAATGTTCAATTAATTCTTTTCATAATCTTCAGGGTGTTTGTGACGGCGCAGGAGCATTGATTCTTGCTAGTGAAGAAGCTGTCAAAGAAGAAAAATTGGTACCATTGGCACGTTTGGTAGGATACAGTGTCGTTGGTGTTGATCCCAGTATTATGGGAATTGGACCAGCCCCGGCTATTCGTAATTTACTTAAAATTACAGGTAAAACATTGAACGACATCGAGCTTGTTGAGGTAAGATCGAATATAATTGAACTATTACTTATCTTGTTACCATATTGAAAAACAAATTCTTTTCTAATTGTATATATTATTTACTCGAAGATTAACGAAGCATTTGGTGCACAAACTCTGGCCTGTGCCAAAGAACTTCAATTAGATATGAACAAATTAAATGTAAATGGTGGTGCAATAGCGCTTGGTCATCCATTGGGTGCATCCGGTAGCAGGATTACTGCTCATTTGATACACGAACTTAGGTAAATAAAACTAAAATGATATTATTATTATATCTTATTTAAAATATTTTTATCACTTATATTATTTATCTTTTTATATATTACAGGCGTAGAAAAGCTGGCAAATTAGGAATTGGTTCAGCGTGTATTGGCGGAGGTCAAGGAATAGCCGTTATGATAGAACGTCTTTAAACAATTGAATACGTTTTTTATCTATTAGTTAAAAAACAAAAATGGTAAAAATATTTCATACGACTGAATATCTTGGAATAAAAGAAAAACAGATATTTTTGATATTTAAATATATTGTGATACGTATTGTATTTATGAACATATTTTTATACCTCTAACTATGATATCTTAATCAGCCGTTGCATTTTGTAATACCGTAAAAATGGAATAAGACATTCGTAAGATCTGCAATTGAACCATAACAAAAATTTGTATAAAATATTATAAAACAAATTTAGCCCTTTGCAGTATAATTATATACTTCGTTTGATTCATCGTTTGATCATGCATTATTTTATTTAAGTGCACATATACGTAATATATATATATATATATGTATATATATTTTTTTGTTACATTAAATTAAATGAAAACGACTCTAGAAGATAATAGAAATAAAGTAATTAATAGTGACGTCTAAATAAGTGCAAAGGACTAAATAAAGTTAGAATGATAAGATATCTAGTTCTTTGGTGTGAATATTTACATTAACAAAAGTATTCAAAGATAACGTGAAAACCTTTCCGGCATATAATGTAAGAGGTCGTTGAGCTCTGATTATCACTATTTGTAATGCACATTTAAAACGATTACTCGCATTCCACCAATCGTTGCAATAAGCTGCTTTACTAACATACATATTCTGTAATTATATTTATAATTTTTTATAAAACTAAATTTTAAATTATCAACGATAATTAAATAATATAAAATAATACTTACATGTAATTGCAACTCATTACCGTGCCAACAGTATATAAAAATTTGATAAGTCATGCAACACATATACATGAGCATACCAAAAAGAATAGCTGGAATATATACTTTCATCTGTAATCGATTAATCAATCCAAATCATAATATTTTTATAATAATATTAATGACTTTTCGAATAAAATAAAAAATGTACCTGCGAAATGTTAAAAGCTATCAAACAAATGATGATGCAATTGACGAAAAATTGTAAAAGGATCATTGTGCCAAAAATATTTTGTATCTCTTTGATGAAACTATATATGTAATACGAGAGAAATATATGTAACATTAATAATTAAATCCTTTTACGGACGAGTGTCGACAAATAGTTGTCTAAGTCTCTGATTTTAATCTTTTAAAGGAAATGTAATTCTGTGTAGTATATTATATCGATAAGTATTTTATCGCTTAGGAAAATTAATGTACGCTAGCCGTTGTATAATTCGCTAAGCTAAACACATTTGGACGACTATTTATGACACTCTTCCATAAATGGTTAAATATAATAAAATATAATTTTTGTTAATAATTAGATGTCGAACAAACCTAAATATAATGTTACTATGTATAACGCATTTCTTTAACGTTTCATATGGAACATCATAAAGAATTTTTTGTTCATTAGAACAATCGTTCGCGTTTCTTACAATATTAATTAGTTTTTCTTCTTGATAATTTTTTATCGAAGCTATGGTCTGACACAATATTGAAAGTTGACAACATGCAACAGTTATAAGCCCAGTGACTAAAGTATCCATAGCCACATTATGAAAACAAGCAACGAAGATAGCCACTGCCTGATGTAACGAAGTGATTTCAAAAGCTGGAGTGACAGTCACGTTGTAAGGATACCAACCTTCCATTGGTAATCTTCTTGATCTCCCAGCAATAAGATCTGCAATGGGTGTAAAACCCCAACATAGTACAGCTACTGTACCAAAACTTTGATAAGCTATATGATGAAAAATTCCTTGCCAAGTATAACGAGTTACCGTATAACCGTAATTAATTTCGTTTCGTGCAAATATATCATTTTTTATTATATTTAAAAGATTTCGTATACGTTTTTGCCGATGAAGAATTATTATTATCTATAATAAATAATTTTCTTCATTATACAGGATGATTTGCTTAAATGTAGAACCTATATTACTTGCAAACTGTTTCTTATTTAAAGAAATGTTTTAAAATGGTATAGTATTGAATAATAAACAATTTATAATTAATTTAGGTAATACACTTTTTTTAGAGTGAATCACCCTGTAATTAAAAACATCACGACGTTATACATATTTTTTTCAGACAAACCTTGTATGCGTGGGTACAATTAGTCATAAGAAGAGTTGCTCCAGCAACAAATCTTCCTAAATCGTTCAAACTTAATATAATATTAGCTATTTCGGTTAACAAAAAAATTCCTAACATAAACGTGAAACTGCATATCGTACAAATGATATACAATGAACGATATTTTCCTTGAGGTGGCCAAGTTCCCATATAATAAATAATTGTTAGGCTTACTTTTAAATGAAAATTTGGTTCTATCCGATGTAAAATTGGTTTTTTTACGTCGTATTCATTCATGTTCAACGTGACTATCCTATCTTTAGTTTTTACAATTACTTAATATCGAACTATAACTGAAACGTCATTTTTGATTTTTAGATACTAGAATATAATTCAATAAGAAAATTTGATATTCCTTTAAAGAATTTTTAATTAAAAGACAATCCGTTTAATTAATGGTTTTCATCATACATAAATGATTGAAGATTACAGAAGACAAAGATAAATTAATAGGTTCCACAGTTTATGAAATTATAGACCATCAATGTTTCTGAATATATTATTCGATTTAGAATGAGAAAATGACTTTAAATTACAAGCTAGTAGATCAATATGTCGTGCAATTAAATATTATTATAGTGCATTATTATATAAGATTTGTACTTACATGTTGAGGTATATGTCATTTAGAAATATCGATTGGGGTATATTGGAATAGAAGATGTAGACGATCTATAAACATTCTTTGAAGATTGTTGTATGTCCAGTCGACTCATGGATTCTAACAATGAGGATAGGGGGGAATGGGTGGTTGAACGAGATAAGGTTTTCATAGTGCAGTGGAAAGAGATATTACTCAATTGCTTAGGTTTCGTTTTTCTTTCTCTTTTGACAAGCAAATTCAAAATCATTGATACATTTCCATAAATATTAAAAATAATAATAATTAATTTTTAGTGTATAAACAAATGTGTGCCTTCAGAAATGCCATTATAAATATATTTAGCTTCTTTAAATAGAAGCAAATAAAAAAGGTTTGATGATAAATCCAACGATGATCACCTGTAACAAAAAGAAAACAATATTAATCATGCAATCAAGTGGTACAGAGTAGCCTAACATATGAATCTTCCAATTCGTAGATGCACTTTTCAATTGAATTCTTTATTTAATTTAATCAAATCTCTATTTACCATTGCAATAAAATTAAATTTAAACGCGTAATTTTACATTTACTTAAAAAAAATATATATATAAAAAAAAAGGAAAAGTACAGATATAAAGTTACTACAAAAAAATATCTATTAWTTATTATAAAATACWTTTAAGCTACTATTYTATAGAAAARATAAATTACAARTTTAATAAAATACGATTACAGTGAAAAAATTTAAAGACAAAACAAGAAAARAGAAATTACTGTAATATTCAACAAACGTTAATTGAGCTTAAAAAATTAATAATAAGGGAATATTCATGTTTTTGACTCTAATTAACTAAAAACTTATGCATCTTTTTGACGATATAGACACGAATTTGGTGTCCCAAGGAGATGGAATGGTCCATCATCTCCCATTACAACTAGAAATTAATGACGAGCAAAGAAATAATACAATAAAATATAAAATATGACTAAAGAACTATTCTCGAAAGGTTTGAACATGATGTTGAACCTTAGAAAATAATTCAGTAGTCTGTAGTTGCCCTCTTCAGCCACAATTATGTGGGGGCCTCTTCGGCATATGCCTCTTCTTTCTTCATTCCCTGAAAACTGCATTTGGACATTTTCTTCGTGCGAGCAAGATAAGATTTTTTATACTACTTTTGCAAATAAACTCGTATTTTGTTATGGTCCTAGTTCTCAATTATAACAAAATTAATTTACATTTCGCGTTCACTTTTCTAGCTCGTGGACCATCAATAAATTTAGAGTTCATTGACCATACACGAGACATTTAATCGAATGTCCAAGCAGATAATAATTTCCCTCGATGACCTAATAACACTTCGCACTTTTAACGTCGAGTAATAAAATCGAATTGAAATAAATACTGCAATAAATGTAATGCATTTTATTTCATTAATTAATTATATTTAATTATATCAAATATTTCTAGCTGTAAGAGGAAATCGCGATAGTGCGTAGTGCTAATCCTGAAATACTTAAAACTAAGTATCAAATGCATCAAAGAATTTGCGAATTTGATTCGACTCTATCTCGTTCGAGGTAAAATCAAAGTAGAAATAAATCTTTCAAATG